ATGTTCAGAGGATGCACTTGCAATAAAATGCTTTCCGTTTTGAACCAAACAGTACTGTAATAAATGTATCACGATCGTGCAGCAAACAAATATACAAGACTGACTGCAATTGTCTGCACTGCAGAAAGTTCTGCGAGGTGCATACTAAATCAATGATCACGTAGGGGCTCATTTGACTGATTCTTACCCCTGCCATGACAGAGTGCTTGATCCAACTGGCCGCTGTCAATGTTCCACAAGTGCAATTCCCCATTATCGCTGCCACTGATGGCAAATTCCCCAGTGTGATCAAATTGCACATCACAAATCCGATTACGCCTGATCTTTATACGGAGTGTCTGTATGAGTAACAGATGGCAGGTCGGGTTGTCTGTTAACCTGTAGACATCGATTCCATCTACAAGATTCCACACAAGAAGAGAGCCTAGGGAATCTGAATATGCTGAACTACCGCTGCTCATATTCAGTCTTTACAACGTAGAGATACTAGTAAGGTGCTCACATGCGGTTACCAAATTTTTGCCTCCACAACTCTTTCCAAGGTGAAATGCTCCATGCCACGCTATAAATGATCATTGTCATTACTTCGTTATCAAATCATGCAGCGCTCACATCTCACGAGAATCGAGGTAGGAGGCAAGAATGCTCTTGCCTTTCTGGAAGAAATGCGTTGAAATGACAAGCGCTGGTCTTGGGTCCTGGGAGAATGGTGGATCCGCCAATAAACACTGCAAGGGCTCTAAACCAATGCTAAGTCTGCAGCTGGGTGACAAAAACTATAGCATGATTTACCAAGTTTTCCTATGGCAAGTCTGAAGAGGACGACTCTGCCTGGTCCCGTCGCAGCAATTATACCCTGAGTGTCCTCTACCTCAATACTTGTCACCGCACCCGGGAATACTGTCTGTATGCTCAAAAGTACGTCTGTCCGCTGTCAAACAAAGGAACAGATTCATTTTGACAAAATATTGAAGCCTTACTGTTGAAAACACTTACCTTGTCACCACTCAATTTTCGCAGCTGCATTGTCCCATCAGCGCCACCTGACAAAAGGAAATTTTCAGCAGATGTTAGTGAACCAACTGCCCACTTCAAGGCCGTTATAGGGCCTTGTTTTGGCCGAATGCGTAGGATTTCAGATGATTCAGCCATTGACCACAGCATGATATGTCCGTCATCCCCTACAACAGGTAATCATGCCCCAAAGTTCAAAGGGATAGTGAACAATGTGCCAGGCCAACCTAAATGAATACTCACCTCCACTAGCCAGGTAGCCCTCTTCACTGAAGCACATACAATTGATGGGAGCTTTATGGCCCCTGAGGGAGCGCTGTAGATAAAATTTGTTCATAGAAGTCACCCAGCGGAAGGCTGATCACAGGCAAATTGATATTCTACCCCGAAGCGAGGAACGAGCGTAGGGTTAGAATTAGGACTTTGCGGCAGCGGCAGTGCAGCACGTGGCCTCTCTTGTCTCCGCACCACGCAGTGCTCGCGCCACGCTCCAGCAGGCTCAAACCAGCCTGCTGCCTTCTGCTTTTCTTTTCTCCGTGTTTGCTCTGCTCTTCAAAATCTTGCACCGCCATTGTCTGGGTGCCCCATGTCTGATTGTTGGGATGCAAATCGACTTGCAGGATGATGCTCGGGTGATCGAGAAGCTCTCCAGGTAGAAGCAATGACTGGCGTCGACTGAGCACAGTGAAAGGCTTTCGAGAGAGCTTGGCGCTGTCAAGTATGCGGCGTTCTCCGCCCTGACACAGAAAGGGTTGAAAAACGTCTTTGACGAGGTTGGTGAAATCTTTGATAAACCTTATCTGAATGATTGGCTGATAACCTACTACAAGGCTATTGTTGCTGCGCTAGAGCTATCAATGCATCATCATTTAATGAATGATCCATCACGACAGTACAGCTTATACATGTATGTTGCGACCGTGTAACATTCTCTTACAATCACATAGAATCTCGAAAGACAAAATATTGTACTACTGTCTTGCGTGCACTTACCATTGCCTCATGTACATTTCGCATTGATCATCTTGATCGCACACACGCACAATCGACAACACATTTTCATTTACACACCGCCTCGAAACATATTCCATTGTATTGCTACACTTTCGACAATGATAGACCAATCGCACAGTAAGTTTGTACTCACAACTCCAATGTAAGTAAAAGGAAGTGTGGAATGAATAACGCAAAGACGCCCTGTGTCCTGAGGCTTCTTCCTAACAAAAAATAGCTGGGGTATTGATGTCGAGCAGTGTGATCGGAAGCTTCTGAACATAATGGGTGAAGCGGACAATAAAGAGGGCTCAGAAAAACAGGAGGTAGCTAAATAGCTTGGTTCTAGAACTTCTAATACCGCTTGAAACGTTCTTCCAGCTTTCGCCGCACATCAGCAGATGCATAACTCAATACTGGATAACTGACCAGTGAAACGCCAACCATGAGAATAGCAAGTTTTACAGCTTCTTTTGGTGGTTCGTGAAGCTGCATCAAGGCCCACTGGTCAGCGCCCTGATAATTCAAATATCTAGCACTTACTTCTTCAAGCATGAATTTGAGGAGGAAATCATTGACTTGATTTGCTCCAAGAAATTGAACATCTAGCTGTAGTACGTCTCAATCAGTTGTTGCTTTTTTGCCATTGTACAACTTACCTCGTCGAAAAGAGCAAAGACTTTGCTCACAAATTGGATGTCGCGCTGGGAAGCATGCTGAAATCGTTGGCTCAAAAGACTATGATAATTTTGGTCCACTTAGTTGTAGAACGTCAGTGATAGCAAGCTCAAGATAAAATAGAAATATCTTACATGAAATATGCTCCAATTGCTGTTCCTGAATTGCCTGAGGAGTATCACTGACATATGGATCGAGAGATGAAGCCACAGCGGTGTCCCTGGCTTGAGACTGATTGCTCATGATGGAGTGTTTTTGTTTATCATATCAGATGTGTCTCCTTTTAAAATCTCCAGAAGAAAGGAAAGACGCTTGAGGATGCTTGCCGAAAGCTTGAATACCTAACAAAGGGATCAATAACAAGCAGGATTAAACACTATTTGTTGTCTGGAGTCGTGAAGTACTTCAAATCTATTGCCATGAGAGAGTGCTCACATAATTATTTGCCGCGGGTCGGCATACAGGTGCCTCCGGGTGTCGGGGATGTTGTTTTAGTCCTTTGCAGCGACGTTAAGCCTGAGATTTGTGCTCATGCCAAGATCTATTACGTATACTATATTTTGGTTGTTGGTCGAGTTTCTCTTAGACGTGTACAAGTACAATGCAAACACTCTAATTTCAATCTCATGCCACATGTCCGTCCCTTGCTTTTTATCGCTCCTCCCTTTGACGTTTAACCGGCCATTGTATAGGGTATTGTTTCCGACTCCCTTTCAGGTCCGACTATGACAACACTTAGATGCTCTGTAGAAGGTAATAAAGACCCTCTTGAGACTTTTGAGTTACCGATTCACTCATCCTTCGTCAAACAGATCCATTCACTTTTAATACACGCACAGGAATCTATTGGGAGTGTTGATGTGGTTCAGCACAGCATCATCTGCTGGCAAGCGGGCCAGCAATGCTACATGGGAACAAGGCCGTTCAGAGCAGCCAAAGACGCAGAAGAATGTTTTGGATCCTACAATATCTGCACCACAATCTGCACCACCAAAAGTCAGTTCATCACATTGCTCTCTCTGGAGTTATTTTGAATGATTACAGATAGCGTCATCGCCTGAGGAGTCTCAGCTCAGACTCTTGGAGGCCCTTGTTAAGGAGGTACGTAGTGTTATTTATGCAAAGGACATGTTCATTCAGCCCGACCTGGGGCTTGCAGAGTGCACGCAGAAACTCATCAGCATCGATCAGTTCAACGAGCCGTAGATCGCCATCAATATCACAGATCAAGACACCTGTGACTGAGCGCAACCCCCCTGAGCGCCGGGGTTCACAATCCTCTACGTGCTCCAACCGTACTATTCGAGCTCCCCCTGAGGGCTTGAATCGTTCTACTACATCTTTACAGGTGATCATTGTTTTATGGTGGTAGAATAGACTTTGATGCAGCTCCACAGGAGCTATTGGATAAACACAGCGATACGACGCAGACGCACTCTACTGTATGTCTTTTATATACTTCAGGCGATTAGAATTGATTTTCTTTTAGCCCTCTGGTATCGAAAAGCAATCAGGCTCTGGATTGGGCGAGTCGTCTCAGCAGTCATGCCAATCCAAAGGAAAACAAAAGGCAATTGACATTTCTTCGCCACTATCAGATCCTCATATATCACCTCCAGTACGTCTCGCAGGTTCTTCTCATTATTGCTGAACTGACAATGTCTTTCAAAGAACTCGGCCACCTTTTCTACTTTACCCAGATTACCAAACTTGCCGCCGCCGCCGCCTGCCGGACCTGCGCCGACTGTTCAAAGCAACCCTGTGTCCCAGCCGATCACGCAAAATCAACAATTCCCGCCAGAGGCCATGGCTTCTATTATGTCATGGTTTTCTACAGGCTTCTCGCATGTGACTTCGACGCTGGAAGGCCACCAGTCAGCCATCGCGAAGAGGATTGAAGACGACGTTAAGGAAATCCGTCAGATTTGCATGCGGACCCAGGAACAACAGAGGAATTTATCCTGCGAGCATTACGCAAAGTCAAAGGTTAAAAAAAAGAAGCGCGCTGGTTTTGTTCCTGATCCTAAGGACGATTGCGTAGATGCTCCCACTGATCATAGCAAGGTGACTTATAACGCTTTCAAGGTTAGTTGGTACTAAATTCGATTCATATTGGAGACTATGGTTACTAACGTCCGGCTGTCATAGGCATGTATCCGCCAGCATGCGCATCATCTTCTGAGAGTCAGTGATTATAGACTGTTGACTTCGAGTAACTGTAGCATCACTGAAGATGAGAACTTTGCGTACATCTCAAATACTCCCGGCCGCATCCAGATTACTGCAGACAACTTTCGTCTTGATCTGATGCGCCATCGAAGCACCAAATTCAACATCGATGCCATCCTTGTATTTGCCCTCGACTTCATCGAGAAAACTACCAAATTTGGTTGGTACAGCGATTCTAAAATTCCTGAATGATACTTTACTCGAAAAGCCGTGAAAGATGCATTCTATTCGCATTTCAAAACCATCCGAGACTATTATAAGGATATAGAGAAGGTCAAGAACGGAATGTCCATGGAGGAGCTTAAAGATAAGAAGCAGTTGGAGCTAAAGAAAAGTGCAAGGCAGTCAAGGAAAAATCGAGTACGTGATCCGTTCACTCCAATATTTATACTCACACTGATGTCCATTTCAGCTTTATGCAGAGCGATTGAAAGCTTGTGCACTTGATGGTGGCCCATTTACACCACATATGGCTCTCTTACAGGAAGCAGGGAGCGCAGGGTGTAGTTCCGACGAATCTGAGAGTGAACCAGACCAGGAACCTGCATATTTGCAGAAGGCTCCTAGGCGTGCGAAGCACATTGGATACAGACGCATCGAGCCAATTTGGCGGGGCACCGCATTCCGCTCGCTGATGTATCGTATTGACGACCGTGTTGATGACTTAAGGTCTTCGGGAGTCAACTTCGCGTCTTCCAGAGCCAGCCGACGACGGTGTGGAAATGTACCGCGCACTAGACTTCACTCAAACAAGACAAATCCGTCAGTCGCAGCACCTCCCAGCCTTCCTCGAAATTGCTACAATCCAGTATGGTACAATTCACTCCCACTAGAAGCAAAGCTGCGGTTAGACATCAAAGACTGGGACTGGGATTTTTGCAATGGCGGACAGTTGGAAGTCGAAGGTGCACCTCAGACTGGTCATGGAGATTATTGTGTTCCGGACCCATCGGATCCATTTGGCCAGCGAAGGATGCAGGTTGATGGAGACTGCGGAGAAGGCCCTTCAAATTCAGACAGTTAGATACTGTATGCTTGAATAATACTGTGGCAATATACATCTGAGCAGGGCTATCCTTCCTCCGCATCCACATCTTCCCACCTTTACAATCACTTTCTGCTCTCTTTGCATGAAGAGCGGATAGATCAACAACACGAGGCGATGAAGAGAATTTGATGATGTCCCGGTAGAGAACCTTAGTTTCTGTGGCGAGCGAGCGAATGGTAGGAGGAGCGGGCGGAAGCTCTGTATCGGATTCATCTGTGTCGGATTGTCCTGAGGGGTCCAGCGGAGGTGTACGTACGCGACTGATATGTTCTGGGAGATGTGGTAGTGCTTGTATTTCCTTGAGTAGGTCCTGTCCCTTGAGATACGAGTTTTCTGTGCGCAAGAAGCGGACGGTGCCACGAAGAGCCTTGATCTATGTGAGAGTCAGAACAACGATGATGAGATGGGTCTAGACCTGCACGGACCTGCTCCAGAAGGTGCGGTGTCTCCACATTACCCTCCATGGGGACATTCTCTGAATCAACAGGTTGTGTGCTAGCAGCTGGACACGGCAAGTTATCAGACCGTGCAATTGACCCCAATATAAAGAAACATACCTTGTCGCTCCGAACCCGCAACCAACGCCTTCAGTTTCGCATTATCTTGCTCGAACATATCCAGGTCTGCCTAAAGTTGTTCCATTGCCTCTTTGTATGCATGTTCCTGCTTGCGCGCTTTCGAGAGCTCGATGTCAAGATCTCCAATGGTATCCACTTGCTCCTTGACTGCTTCCATGCGCCGTTCCATGTGCTCGATCTTCACCTCTGACTTCTGTATCACTTGGTCTTTCGTCTTGAGACTCCGTGAAAGTCCTTGTATTTCCTCCTGCAGCTGTGCGGCTTTCTGCTCGGCTTCGACATTGGTAGTCATTCTGGCTCTGATCTCCTCAATTCGTAGGACCCACGGTGGTGTGCCAGAGACTTGGCCATCGTTAGCATGATATTTGACGAATATCAAAGCTAAAAGAAGCCTACTCTTGAACACGTTCTCAGGTTCCATTGCCAAAGGGAGTAACTTGTTGCACTCCGCTGATAACTGGGCAATAGCTTCACCAACCGCCTCGAAGCAGGAGGTCCCAGGTTTCATGTCCTTGGCGACAGTGGACGTTGCAGTCTGCCTGGCATACGACAACACTGTTGCAAGCTGAAACGGAGCCTTGGCACTACGGGCGTCGCTAAGGTGTGGAATTACTTGTTGGGCGAGCTACAGTTATACAAATAAGTAGTCTTCCTCAGAAAGGGGAGCGAAAACACTAACAGAGATATCAAAGTTGACTAGCTCGGGAACTGCGTTGCTGAGATTTTTGAGTTGCTGAACGAGATGTGACTTGAGTGCTGAAGACTCCTGGATAATGTCATTGAGGCGCTTTGTAAGTTTCCTGTATCAGAGGCGATTTTACTGTGAACGGCGCTATTGTGGCGAGCTGATAGTGCTGATGGCGAGTTGATATGAGCGCTGACGCTGACGCTGAGCTGCGCTGCAGCGCCAGAGCAGCGAATATTCATTCGAATCACATGAGCGGGCAAACGAGAAAAAGAGAAGCCCGAACTATAAAACACAAAGTCTGAGGAAATGTGACATCAGTATTCTGCGGCTGCAGTGGCGACCTTGGAACGAAAGTTTTACATCCCATGTATATCCCTAACCCCGTTGCCTGACGAACAAAGGATGTGACTTGAGTGCTGAAGACTCCTGGATAATGTCATCGAGGCGCTTTGTAAGTTTCCTGTATCAGAGGCGATTTTACTGTGAACGGCGCTATTGTGGCGAGCTGATAGTGCTGATGGCGAGTTGATATGAGCGCTGACGCTGACGCTGAGCTGCGCTGCAGCGCCAGAGCAGCGAATATTCATTCGAATCACATGAGCGGGCAAACGAGAAAAAGAGAAGCCCGAACTATAAAACACAAAGTCTGAGGAAATGTGACATCAGTATTCTGCGGCTGCAGTGGCGACCTTGGAACGAAAGTTTTACATCCCATGTATATCCCTAACCCCGTTGCCTGACGAACAAAGTGTTAAAAATCGAGCTGGCCATGAGCTGGCCATACATGCGGACATGGTTTAAAATTGAGATTGCGTGTATAGAGGAGCTACAATGTGTTTGCCACATAAAATCACGGCCGTCCGGATTGGGTTTCAATGATCTTGCAGTGATTTAACATTTTGCGCATCAATTGGGATCCCGACCCGTGGCGTCACGTCTTTGAGTTCAGACGAAGAATGGCAAGCCTTCCTATATGATTTAGAATCTAAAATAAATGGTCTCAAACTAGTGGGATAGTGTTAACCTTGATATTTTACACTTTGTCGTCGTCGAGGATTCCTCTCCCTTTTAAAATTTCTGCGCCGCATCTACTGCGCCACCTATCCATATGTTGTATTACATTCCCACCCCGTTTGATCTTCATCTGAACGGCCTTACCTTTTCGACTTTGCCCGCAGTGTTCTCTGGAATCGTGGCATCTCGGTACTTGCCATTCTTACAAATCATCACCCTATTGGGCAGATTCTTCATATGTACCCTTCCGACCTTCTTGTTTATTTTCTCTCTTTTAACTGTTATGTCCATATATTACTCTCTTTGTTTCGCATCATACTGCGACCGAAGTGTAGTTCGACTTTCTGTTACTTCCAGGTTTCCCCGATGCATCCGTGACCCAATACCACGACTGACATTCCCGTGCAAGCTATCCTCGCCACTCCTATGGTCATAATGTCCGCTGTCCATGTTCCAGTGAAACATCTGTTTGCCGCGTGTGGTTCATATAGCAATATATGCTTTTGGTGCAGTCGTGCTCTCACAACTTGAAAGGCTCCACATACAATTTGAATCCCCGCTCTGTGTACTTCATCAGTGCCTCGATGGTGTTTTTGCCTTCCATGTAAAGGCGCGAATGTACGAAACTCTCAGGCTTTCTGTCGTAAATCCATTCAGGATACATGACGACGGTGGAATGAAATTGAAGAATGGGAGCTATTGCGCAATCCCAGTGGGTCACGATAATATCTATCTGCTCTTCTCCGTTTACCAGCTTGTAAATTTTGGTTATCGCATCGCTGTCGTATAATGTTTTGCAGCAGATCTTCTGAGCAACAATATATTATGATGTGACCGGTTGACCGATGACCGGAGTCATTGAGCACGTTACAAGAAACACCCAGAGTCACGAAACTTGTTCTAATATTTGTCCATGAATGACCACTGTCTGACTTCCGATGCTGACAGGGAATGTGATGCAAGGCAGCCGCTGCAATTCGGAGTACGTGAAACACTGGGTATCTGCTCGCATGGGGATTAATTGTCTCACAGGGAATTCAAGCTTCAAGCCTGAACTTCGTTGTCCTAGATGTAGGATCACCAAAGACATCCCACTACTCCGTCTGACCCTGTGACTCACGAAATGTAGGTCGATCACGAATAGACCGTAACCGATGGTACGTCATATAAAGACACGAATGAGTCAGAATATAACTTATAACAGCCAAATTTATGTCAGAGTGTAAACGATCCAAGATTCAAAGAGTGAGGCTATGCGAGCGCAAACCAAATGTAGGACAAACGGGCGACGTTTTGACGTTGGCTCGAGCTCTTGCATATTGATATTTTTACTTTCCTTTGATACGTATATTTTTCGTGCCTAAGCTAACAAGCATACTACGAACAGAACCGTACGAACATCTCAGTTCTTCCCCGAGACTGAGTACCGAGATGTGAGCCCTCGTTATCATTTTGTCATTCTTATTTGTTAACAAGCAGTAGATATATTGTTTTCTACTAGGTACATAATTCGTGTTCTTTCCTGAGACTAAGATATATGTTGTTTTCTACTAGCTTCGTTTCTCGTGTCGCTCGCCTCTCATCTTGAATTTATGACGTCTCTTCTCGAGATAATTTTGCTTCCGCTCAAGTAATATATGTCATAGTTCCTACTTCGACGAATAAGTATGTTCCACCAATCGCGTTGCTGAGATCACCAACACCGTAAGCTCACATGAGCATCAAACCTCTTTCGGACAAGCGAAATTTTTGCCGACGTGTCTCCTCCTAACATTATAGTACACTGCCGTAGGTGAAATGTAAATGCGTTTACTAAACCATCCCAGTGAGCTACACAGTAGCAGTGCATCTTTGAAAGGTGGCTTGTTCAAAACAGGTTTTGACTCTTCTTTAGAATCGAATGTCTTAGTAGAAGGCTAGAAGCGAAGCAACAGCTAATAGCCCGAGGAGAAGCGAAAATCTCGCAAAATCGCGAGTATCTGCCTATAAAACACCTGCACGCTTTGGCTTTGCATTGCTCACTGCAACAAGCTCCATGATGTTCACTTCCCGCCTCACTATTTTTGCCCTACTCACCTTCCTCGCTGGCGTCAACGCAGGATGCGCAGCGTGTGAAGAAACGTTGTACGGAGTCGATAGTGCAACGACCTACAAGCTAGTCAGCAACTATGAGAAGTCCGAAAACGGGTACACAGAGTGCGGGTAAGCCACACTCACATCTTCATCGAGAAAAGTGGTTGATGGTCTGGCAGTTATATGGATAAGAAAGGTGACTCGGTGACCTGCGAGTATAAGGTACGTGATTTCTGGACACTGAGCGACTCATCATTCTCGTTTGACACGTTGGATGGCCATCAGGATGACGGTTGGCTAGTAGCGGATGGGGATTCAAAGTGTCCGAAATTGTCAAAGAAGAATGACCCTGAATGCTAAAAGCAGGATGTGATGTGGAATGAGCCCGACGAGAGGAGGAATATTGGTTTGCAGAAAGTTGGGTATATCAGTAGATTTCGTCTGCTACAAAATTCTCTTCATGCCTGTGTTGCATTGACTAGTTTGTGACAATCGATTGTCTTAAGCATCGCGAGACACTGGGTGTTCAAATCTCGACCTGTCAGTCTCTCAAAGAGTCGAATTCAAACTTGGGCAAGTCCGTGTATTCATTTCTTGGGAACACTTTTTGGGAGAACAATAATAAAGAAAAAAACTAAAAGTGACACGCACACATCTGAGTTCACTCGTACGAACTCCAAGAATTTGGCTGTGCAGGCCCTGCAGGGTTTGGGGAAACTCGAAAGAACCAAGTAGGGTCCGAGTGTAGTAGGAGAATGTTTAGCTGATGCGAGTATACGGTACGGATGTTAAGCAGAATGTGATGTGGAATGAGCTCGACGAGAGGAGCAACATTGGTCTGCAGAAAGTTGGGTATATCAGTAGATTTCGTCTGCGTCAAGAGTTCTCTTCATACTACGTGTTTCGCCTGGACCAGTTGGTGACAATCAATCGCTTCGAGCATCTCGAGACAATGAGTGCTCCTCCAAGCCTGTCAGTCAGCGTCTCAAATTCAAACTTGGGCGAGTACGTCATTCACTATTTGGAAGAACGAATAGTGACAGAATGGAAACTAAAGTGACACACACATGCATATCTCTGAGTTCACTCGTATGAGGTCCAGGGAGAGTTGAAGCACATGCGTGGGGCATAGTAGCTTCTGGCATTAGGTAGTGTAACACTTCGAACTTATCTCCATCTCACATGGTGGCAGATGTCGTGCGCCACCACTGGCATACCCTCACCAAAACACCCACAAACAATACCTGCGAAACTGCCCTCAAGTTACACATCACCGCCACTTGACTAGCATCCCCAAAGGATAATAAATGGGGCTGTGCGAAAAGTATGACTTCGCCCGTCTAAATGTATGCCTATCGGGTGAGGTATAGCTGTCGTTTTTCACAACTATCGCCATGGCACTTGATAGCATATCCGCTACGCACTACTGTACCGAAGGTGGTCGAACCTGCCAGTGTAGGATAGAATGAGCGCTGTGGACGGTGAGGTGAGCTAACTCCTTGAGGCAGTGTCATATTGCAAAATGAGTGGGTAGCCTGGATCGAAAGAATATTTGGAAATATAGGTCGAGCTCGGGTTTATGTAGCACCCCGTAGCAGAGTGATTCGTGTGGGTAAATCAGTTGCACACAGTTCTCAGTGTAGCATGGGATGGAGGCGGATCGATAGTAGAAGCTGATTGTTTCTTCTATAGCACTTTGAGTAGTATTAGATTTATCAGTACGAGTAGATGCGGTGGATTCGGTTCATGCCTACTTGGTGATGGTGAGTACATGTGGTCCCGGATGGGAGGAAGAAGTTGGCACATGGAACGCCATAGACTTATCTCATCTTTGATATATATGCATCGCGATATCCTGAGTAGACATCAAACCAAAGGCGAATCCAGGATCGTCATGCAGTCCGAGTTTTTTTTTTCTATGAATGTCACGGACAAAATTATATGTTTCAAGGTGAGTAGCCCAAACTCGCTATAGTATGGTAAGTATTGCATAGAGGGGCTGGTCACCAGTCTAATTTACAGGCACTCCATTGAATCCTGTCACTCACTTCTTGCTGATCTGCACATGTTGGACTATCATGTTATCGATCACCGGTCAACCAAGTCAACGTCAACCGTCATTCGGATGGTTTACTAGAACCATTGACATTTTCCCACATGGTCGACCGCCCTCCTTGCCCGGCGTAGTGGCGCACACGGAATTCCTCCACATCAATCCAATAAAGCGTCTGTCAAGGTATATAAAGCCACTACATGTTCTCGCTCAACTTGTCTTTTCACTCCTACCCAGAAAACCTTCATTGTCATGCAGCTTTCTTATCTGATCATCCTTGCCTGTTCCATCTTTATGGGCGTCAACGCCTCAGCTTCCCCAGCATTTACCACGACCAGATGCACCAGCAGCGGGAACTTAGAGGTCTGCGCGGAGGACCGGGACTGTTGCTCTGGTTGTTGTGTTGATTATGTAGGTCACCTCGAAGGCGTTATATATAGCTATTACACTTATAATCTACACGGATATGTGTCCCCGCCTCAGGGTCGGTGAATCCGACTGGAGGTAATCCTTCACGTCCTGCAGTAGGCGTTTCTGAGTCTTCGTCTGACATTATGCATGATGTTGAACACGTGTAGCACAGGGACTTGCATGGTACTCCTTGACGTCGGTGGACATATGAATGGATGAAGTTGTTGGATGTGACACTTGACTAGCTTGACTCTCCTCCTGTATTCATTCGCTATTGTTTGTGCAATAATTGAGGCCTGGTGGACAGAAAACTGTGATCGAGGAGGGATCGCTCTCTACCAGGCTACATTAATATCATTATTTGAGTGCAGGTCTCGCTCGAGGTGAAAGTCCCAACTCGCCGAGTCCGTGTATCCGGTTTCCTGGTACGTGAATACTTGTAACACCCCACACTGTCACAAATTGTTGGCCGTGGATCCAAATAGGAGCCGATAGAATATATTGCATGCATAACTCGAGCCGAAGCCCATCATAGGCTTGTGGGGACATCATTCGCCACAACATGGACTGTGCAGACTGAGCAGAAACGAGTCAGACGATACTGCGAGATTGGGGGAAAGGACTCGGACATAGTACCCGATATTGAACTTGAGTCCTAGAATGTACATGAAGAGACAGTCTCAAGTTGCCATATACAATGATGTCGTGGTACCGTATTATGATATTATAGGGGAGCTCAGGGTAGGCCGCTGTCCGCTTTCGCTGTTGCCGTACGTGAGTGAAAAGATATATTTACGAGCAGCAAATATATGATTGTGCTTACCAATAACCATAAGAATGACAGCTGTAGGGCACCGAGTGCGAAGCAAGAGGTGCTAGCCTATGAGAAACTTCAGCAGAAAAAAGATAATTACATTGAATTGATGAGCCCACGCTACAATTGGTGAGCACTCAGTAGCAGCTTAGTGGACTGAAATCAAAGCTTGCAAACTTGACTAGCTGTTCAAGTCATGTAGATCCGTGCGGACTCATGTTCGAGAATACGGCTGTTGGATAGCTGTCAAACTGTGATTGGTTCCAGAATCTAATTATCTCGCGGAAGCTGCCATGAGTACGTGCCGATATTTCTGAGGAAAATATTTGTCGTTATAATGACTAGAGCCTCCATGTAAATGTTGGTAAATGGGAGATCTAATGTATCATCACGGTGGTATTGTGGTGTGTTTTCATACTTCGCCCATATCTTACGTAAGTATTGATGTCGATGCAATGTTAACGTTTCGACTGCTTCTTACATTGATACTTTGTCATCGATGAAATGAGTTTGATTGACTGACGTACCCCACAAAGCTCAAGGGCTCCAGTCCATGCAACGTTCATGGAAGGAACGACCGTTTTCCTTCTATTGAAGAGCCTGCATCGTACACGGCGGGAAGACCGAGCCTCACTGGCTAAAAGTGTAGATAATCCCTTTCCCGCATTGTTTAACATTTTTCGTGCTACATAACATATGGTATAGGACGGCATCTAGCCCTCGACGTTACTCTTGCGACCTCGATTTTGTGAGAGTGATTCTACAGTTCTTTAGTCTGCAGGGTTCTGATTCTTTTCGCTCAAGTACAGAACTTTAACCCTAGGCCTTCTGCCTTGAGGTTACGTGTGCGCCTGAAGCTAAGGCGAAGCGGAAGTCTCACAAATTGCGATGGCCCCAGTAATTTCAGCCTATAAGATACCTGCATGCTATGATGGCTTGACATCCTTCACTGCAACAAGTCCCATTATGTTCACTTTCCGCTTCGCCGTGCTTGCGCTGTTCGCCTTCCTCGCTGGTGCCAACGCCAACGGGACATGTGCAATGTGCCAAGATACCGTGGACATCGAAGGTGTGGCGGTCTACACGCTAGCCAACAGCACCGTTGAGACCAGCGGGTACACACTTTGCTCGTACGTCATACCTTGACAATCTTCGTCAACCAAATTAACTGATGAGCCGGCAGCTACACTAATACTAAGCTGGGCATCAAGGTGACCTGCGAGTATTCGGTACGTGCTTGTTAGATGCTGTGCTGCTCATTATTTTCGTTTGACACGCTTGCGGTTATCAGAGCGACGGCGCATTCCAGGATGGGGATGAATTGTGTCCAAGTAAGGTGGGTACGTATTCATGCTGAGCAGGACGTAGAGTGGAAGCAGGCCGACGGGAGTAGCAATCTTGTCCTGCAGGCAGCTGGGCAGCATCAGTGAGTAGATTCCATTCGTTACAATAAATTGAATTGACCAGTTCGTAATAATCAATCTCATAGCTGTATGCGATTCTAATGAGATTCATGAAATTTCGGTACCGCGCAGTGTAATGAAAAATTAAACCAACAGAACACCAGGGAGACTTCATGTAACTCGTACGAGTGATAGCATCATATATCAACGTTTCAAATTTGTTGTTTTCGATATTGCTGTTAAATAACGTCCGAAGGGGATTTCCTTTTTCGCCACAGGTGCGGGAAGCGCTAGTGTAGGGGGCAGCCCCGCTAATGGAACGTAGCACAAGATCTTAGCGAGACGTGATAACGACGCTGAGGTGAAACTATGTTGAAGAGAACATATAAGTAGGAAGTCCGAGACGAAAGAAGCTGCCGGTGAGCATCAGTACTAGTACCGGTGAGAGCGACATATGGTGTGGAAGGTGCCAAGAGAAGGAAGCTCTGGAGCGCTAATCCTCCGGAGTTGGTAACATGCGAACGAGTATAGTCAACAGAACAGCGGGAAAGTATTTGGATGATGGCAAAGATTATGTGAGCTATTACAAAATACTGATACGGTACTAGTGCATCGATGTTCCACCTACTGTCGGCAATTGCCATTGACGGAGACTTCTACCACTGGCGATGGAGAGTGCAGGTGGAGCTCAGCTACATGGGAGTCATGCAAATTGCTTACGCGGGGTCAACCTTGTGACCGTAGGCAAATAAATGTGACGCAACACTAGCGCCTTAATCGCGGCGTCATTCATTTCATGTATGCGCCTATATTCTGAACAGTACCGTGCAGGGTAGCATTCAAATATCCACAAAGGAGGGAACAGCAAACGAGTATCACGCCGAGGTTCCAAATAAGTCGGTATATTCTACGACCAACACATTAATTCAAGCAAGTGGTATATAGCGCCTTGCGCATCGTCCGTGCGTATATGCATATGTAATTTTTTCAGGTGTAATCACTCCACCAAGCTTCCGATGCGCATGTCAGTCTAGTTTAACAAAGCATATCCAACCTAGAAAAAACTCACCTAATCTCAGCATCTCTCCCATCGCGCACCTGCAAACTCCAGTGATTCTCAACACCCAGAACCCGGTGGTACGCATTGAGGTTCTTGTGTAAGGTGAGTTGGAAGACGCTGGCACTACCTTGGCGGGAAATGATGGTGCTGTAGGCGAGGAAGAAGACCCAGATTCGGTACCAGCGTTCACCGTATTTGTCTACGACCTAGGACACGTCACGTCAGCATCGCGCGGGTATAGGAGGGATGGGCAGGACAAGAGGGAGGGGGGAAAAACGAACACACCTCCTTGCGGTTGCTAACCCAGTTCAAATACCACCTCCAGATAGTAGCGCTATAATGTACGCCCAAAACATCAATATTCTTCACTTCAAACCCGGCGGCTTCGACTTGGTTGATGACCCAGCCGAGAGAGCAAGATGCGTCCGCGCCAGGGAAGATGTATTTATTCATGAAGAGACCCCTGCGTGGTGTTAGCGTATGATATGCCAGACGACAACTACACCTACCAGATGAGGTCCTCGTATTGCCACGAAGGACGGATACCGGCGACTTGGAGGACGAAGATGCCGTCATCTTCGAGGAGGTCGTACATTTGACGCATAAATGAACCGTATCGCCTAATTCCGACGTGCTATTGAACGTTAGACGTGGAGATATTAAGAGTACGCAGTGCTTACCTCTGCCATCTCAAGAGAGACTATCTTCGTGAAGTGCCCTGGGCCGCCTGGGATATCCCTATAGTCCATGCATAGGATACGAGCCTTGTCGGGGGTAACACCGTTGGTCTTGATGCGCTCATTACCGAACTTGGTCTGGTTTTTGCCGAGGGTGATGCCTGTGACGTCGCATTTGTAGTTTTTTGCCGCGTAGGCTGCGAGTGTACCCCAGCCGCAACCGACGTCGAGGAGACGGTCATCAGGTTTCAGGTTCAGCTTGGAACAGACGAGGCGGAGCTTGTTGTCCTGAAGCTCTTCGAGGGATGCGTCTTTGTTGGCATCCGTGATGACGCCGGAGGTGTAGATCATGCGTGGACCGAGGAACCTGTGGGATATTAGAAAGAACATTGTTGAGTTGAGTTGAGGGTACGTACCATGAGTAAAAGTCATCGCCTCCTGCATGGTTGGAGTGAGTAGAGTGATTGAAAAAGTAGAGGAAAACCTACTGTCGTAGTGGTCGCGAACCTGTTCTTCGTCTTGAGATTGAGAGTGAACGATAACCTCTGGAAGGAGATTCGTGAAGACGTATTTGAAAAGTTCAGGCGTCATGGCCATTTTCGCCCAATCGTGACGGTCTTCCAAGATGTCCAACACGTCGCCTGTACACGTTTGAGCATCATAGCAGACACGTAAAAAATGAATATTACCGTTAAAGTCAATCTTGCCCTCAAAGTACGCGTCGTGGAAGACCTGCATTGGGATTTTTGTATTGCCGTGGTATTTTTCCTTCAGTTCCGGGTCATTGATAGTGATATAGTCTTCGAGGTCTTTACCAGGCATAAGGACTTTGACGTTTTTACGACGGCCGTAAATGCTCGCTATGGCCCAATAACCGACGGTAATTGGGATACCTGTGATGACGAGAATGAAGATATATGTTTTGAGACCGCCACGGTTTACAAAGGGAAGGATGCGTTTGATGACCCATGGTATGACGACGACGAGAGCGGCGAGTTGAACATTTGAGAAATAACCGTTGCCTTCCGCTAGACCAAGTAACGGTGCATTTTTGATGGAAGGGACGTTCGTGATACGAACAGGTGAGAACGTCATGGATCCTCGCCGTGGCTGCTGGTCTAGTAAATTGGAGAGAAGCCAGTTTTTATGTTTTGGCGCTTATGTTCTGTTTGCATTTGTTTGTATCAAACGCGTATAACTTGGTCTCAAGTTAAGAGCGCCACGCGTCGTTTCGCGGACTCCAATTCCAGCCTGCATAGATTTGTCTTAGAAGTCGAATGGAGGCGTGTCGAAGATTAGGCATGAGATCAAGGCAAACGGAGTTCAACGTTCAAGATGTGTTACTCACTGTAAAAGACTAGCTGATACATTTTTACCGGCATCGCCAGTTCAACAGACAGGCCTCGTTTGTCTGCGCCTCTGAGCAGGGCATGATGGATGCGAGGTACAATTCGCTCGACGAGTCTCCTGGAGAAACCAAACTATTCAATTAAATTCGAGTCTGACTCACGAGTGTCGAGGTTGATTGGCCAGGACAGCGCTTTTTCTAGCGCAGACGTCAGAACGCTAGAGGTGAACATTGAAGTTGCATTCATTTTCAAGAACGGAGGTTTCTGACATAATTTTATTCATCCTCGACAGTACTCATACGCTGGGGCTATTGTTGCAGGCCTGGTGGTGAGTGTGTTGATCTTCGTTCGAGCAACAGCCATGCTCATCCAAGTCTTTGCCCACTGTTCGTAGGACGTGAGTGTGTTGATCTTTGTTTGAGCAACGGCCATGTTGATCCAAGTCTTCGCCCACCGTTTGCGGGACGTGAGTGTGTCGATCTTCGTTCGAGCAATGACCATGCTGATCCAAGTCTTTGCCCACTGTTTGCAGTTCGTGAGTATGTTGGTCCTCGTTCGAGCAACGGTCATGCTCATCCAAGTTGTCGGCCACCGTTTGCAGGACGTGAGTTTGTCGATCCTCGTTCGAGCTTGAGCCATGCTGATCCAAGCTGTTGCTCGCCGTTTGCAGTGAGTGAGTGTCGATCCTCGTTCAAGCTCGAGCCACGGTGATCCAAGCTGTTGTCTGCCGTTCGTAGTGAGTAAGTCTGTCGATCCTCCTTCAATGAGGCCGATTCCAGTCATTATATTGTTTTATAGCACTCATTCCTTACATCTTACCTTACTGTACTTGTCTTGATACCCAGTTCCAATTGAAACCTAATTGATTCGAACATTGTGTCAGATAGAACAGTAATATGAGAGGCATACCATCAACGAGTTGGGTCACAAAATCCAAGAGGTCAGACCGAGCGCGTGCACATAAGTTATCTTCAACGATCCATTGACGATAGCCTGGCGAGTGAAACATATAATCATATCCAACAAATTAAATACAAATAGCGTCCAGAAGCAGTACAATACCAAACGTTGATGATCAAAACTAATTTTTCAGTATGTCGATTTGGAGGTTTCATCCTGGTGCGTGATTTGGGATATGTGCACCTCCACTGGCATACGCATCATATGATATTGTTGTGGAGTCTCTCGTGCCGTCTCGTTACTACCCATCCTGGCAGTCGAGATGTGACCGTAACTTGTTGTCTTCATTGCCATCCGGATAATAATCATGTAAAATGCAATAGAGATAATCGGCATAATCTAGGTAGCCAAAGCTTGGTTATCTTCGATAAAAAGGAGTTGATAGTGGAAATTACCATGTCTAGTACAACATATTGTCCGTTATTACCTTCGACGAAACACACCAATGCCGATAGAAGCGTCACAGAGTACAGAATAGCGGCATCCGCAAGTACGCGCACGATCGGCATCATGGAGTTATTTGAAGTGCGAACTGCAGATATATCACGTTCCATCTTCCAGATCCGATATGCCAGAAATCCTGAATAAATTGGTCTTAGGCCTCGAGTATCCAGGTACAATTTGTACTCACCTGAAGCCAATAAATTACTTGCAAGTGTCATGGCATAGAAGGCCGTAATCCATTGACCAGTTGCTTTGGCGAAGATGTTTCCAGCCTGGTTAGTCGCTTTTGAGACACTGTAGACTGCACAAATGCCACACACTTTGCAGGGACATCAGAGGTACGACTTTCTGAACATGATTGTGACCTGACCTGTGATACCGAGCCACAAGCAACTCGGTACAATAATGACCCACACAGATTGCCAAACAATGTAGCAGCGATAAATCTTTGGCCGGAAAAGACATTTCATAAGCCAAAAGGGTTGCAACTTCAATCTGGAGGATAGAAATTGAACCCACCACCATTCCATCGCCAAGCATTGTTTGCATGGTATATATTATATTCTTGACCACAAATGTGATTTGGGTAACATCTGCAAAGAATGCCGCTGGTCCCCCTGGAAATGTGTCGCGATAGGTGACTAAACCCTCTTCGATACGAATGATGTCTACTATCATGTGCTCGGGAGATTTGAATACTGGATGATACCAGATGCAAGAGGCGAGAAACTTACTGCGGTACTCAGTATCAGCAGCATGAATGCCACCGCAGTATTTATGCGATTAATCTCCTTCATACGACGTCTGTGTGTCAATGCCCACATGGTACCCCCAAACATGAGGACCGAAAAGCCTGAATAACCCTAGCTTGGTGAGAATGGGACGGACAGATCCACTGTGATGGTACCCACCATATAAGATTCCTTCCATCACGGTTGAAAATATAGCAGCAGTATCCAGTGGCATGCCTCTCGAAGCCATAGCAAGTGGAGTCTTGGGGGTGTAAGTATCAAGGATCAGGGTGCGAGTATCTTGTCCAGCCTCATGTTCAGCTGAGGCCCTTTACATACTAGCAGGCCATCCACCAATTATAGTTGATATGTCATAACGAATTACAAGTACCTTTTCCGAGTCTGCACAGCAAATTTGATGAACAATTCTTCTATGTAGCTGGACTTGAAACGTAACGGCTATGATTCGACATCACAGTAGCAAACTATTCATGGATTGAGCCTTGTTCCAATTCGATCGCGGAAGTAGTAGTACTAGCATGCACCCGGTGACTGGGATGATGTTATATTTGAAACTGCGGTGATCAGTCACCGGATACTACAACCGCCCATCACGCAAATTTTGCCATGAGGTGTGCGCAAGAGTCCTCAACCTTAAAGCGTGTGTTTGATGCCATATGCTATGCAAGTCGATATATTAAGTGCCATGTGCCGCGCATTCCTGATCTCCCTATTAATCAGTAACCAGTAGCAGACGGAGGGAGTTCCTGCCGCTATTATGTTTCCTACCAATGCCGCTGAAGGGAAACAACATCAGCAAACTACTAATTTGGTGACAGGTTTCACACGAACAACAAATCTACACAAACTATACAAGGTATTACAGACATACAAGCAATTCAAAATTTCGAGTTGCTAAGCACAAGCAAACAAGCGGACAAACACCACAAGGACTACAGGTTTGTACAAGCAATACACATTATACACATTATGCAAGTATGGGGGACCGTATTGGACAAAAATCACGCTCTTGGTTTTATACTTTTGATTCTGGCCAAGGACTTAGTAGTAGTGAATCATCGTGAATCACCATTAGAGACGATCAAAGAAGAAGTCGGAGTCTAATTCTAGTTTGACCTTCCAAACTCGATCTTGACGTTGATTTTTGAATCGCATTGTCAAACAAGACCTCGCATCTCGATGTTAATACTCCCATATGCCTCAGACTCCCTCGGAGAAGCCATGTGGATAACGTCTTTGCGGGAAATGGTCCAGAGCCCTTCCTATAATGCTGAAATCACTCAGGACTGTGAACCTGTTGTAGCGTCTGTGAAATCTCCATGTACTAACTACGACACATGTACTGATTAGTCTGATAATACAAGGATCCCTTCAGATACCTTAGTGCCATGTTCCAACTGAGCTCCATGTTTGGGCAGCGCATAATCCGAGTCCAGTCTGGTTATTGACCACATTTTCTGACAGTTGCAGTTCATGCGCGATAGCAAATCATCCTTCACCACTATGGGTTAAGATAACTTGTATACTGGTGGCCTTTCATTAGAGGTGCAAAAGCTATCTGACGCTAATGCATTGTCTCAGTCACTTTATCATTCTCAAAATCCTCCAAGCAGACAATGTCTCTCCCTGAGAACATAACGTGGGTGCAGGCCCCGCAGGTCTCATAGCTGCTCTTGCTCTCGTTCACAACAGGTGCTATGACATCATTATCATGGATGTCGTAGGCAAAGGATCCAATTCATTGAGATCCATCGCCATACACTATGCAGCCATGGAGGTAAGCTACCGTGCATTCATAAGAAGGCCCACTGATGTTCTTGTGATCTTAGGCTTTAGCAAGCATCGATGTTGCAGATGGGTTACTGTCTCGAGCCATCAAGGGAAACGCGCTTTTCATCCCTGTGACCGAGCTTGTACTTATGCAGAAGTTGCAGAGCCTTGGTGTGCAGGACGAGTGTCAGCGCTCCAGCAACCTCAAACATTCATTTCGCTGCGCTCCCAAGTGAGCAGCATCTCCCATGTGTGTGAAGGGCAGTATTGACCCGTCGTCTGATTTCGGTGTAAGCTGCACGAATCGTTTGAATAGGTATTGCATGTATTTGCGGGCACCAGTGAGCAGCCTGAGCATCCATGCCAGTACTTAATCACTCGGTAATGGACGTAGTAGCCTTGTTTTATTTGCTGTAGGGACATGTACAACTAGGTATATAAGCCAATTACTATTTTCTTTTCCTCCCTCTCTGGACCACACCCATGATGACGCTCATATGCTGCGTCGGGCCTCACAGACAGGTCACGACTGCAGCAGGCGCGGCAGGACCACGTCAATTTCACCTGGCCCAACTTTAGAAGACAAAAGAAGTGCGAAGTCCTTGCTAAGTCCACGTTGAATCTGATTATGTAAACCAAAAGCAGACCTGGAGTGGTCCTTACGAAGGTGAAACCAAGATCAAGATATGTAAACAAACATCTTGTCCTCAATCTTGCACTAAGATCCCTGCATTTGTTTTCCTTCATAGGTTTTTGACCATGCCTAGGTCATCATACACTATGATTCACCGTGATTCATTATGAGCTGTTGTGTCAAAGGAAAATTCAGGTCAACTCAAGTCGTAATTTTTTTTTGTCCAATAGTGACCCCCAAATGCAAGTACGTATCCACCTGTTAGTGGGGGAAAGATATATCTAACTGGCTTATTAGCCAAAAACCCCCATACATCTTTCGGTTTAGCTATCCATGCGTAGATACATCGTTCCTGTGCAATTATCCATTGGTGGCTGTGCCCGGTGAGCATCGGACGCAGCACCGGGCGAGGTGAGTATTTGTCCACCCCCATCAACAATCACCATAAATCGCTGAGTAGATCTAAGGTACTCGGCACTAAGTCAAACAAAGGTCAAGTTCATAACTCAGGTACCAACAAAAGAAGTTGTATTAGTAGTCTATCAACAAAATTAATAATGATCATTGTGTACTAAATCTTCTTGAGGAGGGATGTCAAGGCACAGATGTTCGTCCTCATCATTGCCCGTCGAATTGATACCCATCCCAGTGGCCACCAACGCTGGAACATCCTTCCACTTCTCTCTGAATGATGCTGACAGCCTGCGTCGAATAAATGCCTGCCGCTTCGCATATGCAATTAAGCCCTTGGTCTCCTCCAACCTAGCCAGTGTTTGCAAACTGATACGGTCCTCCCACCATTGCACCTGCCAGTTGAAAAAAGCAAGAACTCGCCGCATCTCTTCCAACAAAAGTCAGACTTCCTCGGACCAACAGTTTTGATGTGCCCTGGCCTTGCACCATTCGACACGAAGCACTGTAGTCCCAGATTAGATATGAGCATATTTAAATGACAGCAAACTTACTGTCTTGCAAACTCTCAGCATCGTCGTTAGATATTCCCTGTGTCAGCCAGATCCAGGACATGATGGTCCTGCCTTGTGATTGCCCTGCGAAGTCTCCCATGGGACGGAGGTGAGATCTCGTGAGTGGCTGTAGTTTTCATTCCCAACTGACACAGTCGAGGTGATTGGATAGAGTAACAAGTGCCTTTTGTGCACATGAGTATTTTGCGTGGCTCATAACCAGACGATGTTCCACAGTGTCAAGCGTATTCCTTGCACGAGTGTTGGGATTCTGACCACGTATGTGATGTTTTTTGAACTGCACTAGCTGCTGACGAAGGCGAATGTGAGTGCGGCACTCATTGAGTGCATCGTGAGCTTGTGCAAGCCGGAGAGACCATTCGATTTCAAGGAGTTTGCGATCACATGGTACGTGATCACAGATCTCGGAAGGCAGGAGGAGCTGCGAGTCTTCGGCCTTTCCGGAGTTGGGATTTGGCTTGGGACAGCCACTGTCGTCATCATTGTCACTTGACAAATCAATCAACCTATTGGCGCGTAGGTTCGCGACTGACGGCATGTACAAAGTCTGGATCATTGTCCAGGTGTCTATGCAGCGGAGGAGGGCATTGCTGCGGGTCAAAATGCTCGTCCGTTGAGTGTCAGTTGGATGTTGACTGAGTAATCCTGCATCTGCACGTAGTTGACGTCTGAAGAAAAAAAATAAGTCCATATTCATCGCATCATCCACTTGGGACACTCACTGGGCATGTTCAAGATCCATGCTGGTGCTGATGAGGATACTGCAAGATACCTCGGAGTGAAGAGACACAGCAGTGCCATCCTCCAACTCCTTGGCATCTTGTTTGGCGAGCTCCAGCCAAACGGCTGCCTGTGTCATAGCTAGAAAAGTATTAGTTAGTGCGCCAATCCTTGTGAGAAAGAAATACATACTATCAATGTGTCTCTCAAAAGGATTAGGTTTTGTGTGGTCAACCTCCCAAGTCTCTATCTCTTCTCTCCATTTTGCAAGTGAGGAGGTACCTAGTTCAGACTCTTGGATAGAGTCTTCAAGTTCGGAAAGTGCAATACAATGCTCTTGCTCAGCTCTGACGGCTTTGATGACCTTCTGTAACAACACTCAACCTGAAGATGAGATGTGAGTCAACCACATCAGCAGCGAAGACCAGATAAATACCTAGCGATGTGATCTTCTTCCAATTCCAGTCTCTGAAATGGTCGTCCAGTGCGTCTCGACAAGCTCCAGGGCCCATCTCCTTAGTGCTCATAGCAACACAATTGATGTTTGCCCAGCCATGCTCAGGGGCTTCTCCATCTGTCCGACCAACACTGGGTGACCAGTTAAGTGAGAACATCATTTGACAAGCTTTGATGTGCACTGCGAGATGAAACTTCGGTACAAAATACCGGAAAGTCTTTCCAACAGGATCTGGTTGAAGGCGATGAGGAAGCGAAGGAACATGACCCCAGAGTTTCTTGTGCCATTGGCATGCAATATCATAAGAGAAGTTGATGACTTTGAGGCTTGAAAATGTCGACAAAGCTGAAGACACAAGGTAATCCATATTTACATATCTAAAGCATGATGCCATGAGTGTGTGAAAGATGCAGACTGAATGCTATACATGTACCTTTCACCTTTCTGCAAGTCCCCAACACCATTCACCAACTTCATATCATGGCAGGCACAGTCAACAGTGCCGACGCCTGTAGCAGCAAGTCCCTTCGATATTTTTGTATCTGCCATGTTCACAGCATTATGACTCACACAAGTGCTCCTCTGTTGACACTACATTAATTTGTGAGAGTAAACATGATGAATAGCACACACCTCCTGTATGACAGCAGAACTATTACCTATGTAAGCCTTGTAAGGCTTCTCATTGATGAAATAGCCCCAGCCACCACTAAGACCTGGATCTTTGGTGTCGGAGGAGATGGCTCGGTGCTTGAGATGGAAATTTGCATTGATTGCAAGAAATACACTATACATCCACCTGAAATATGTTAGCATCAATCCTACCATCAACATTAGAAGAACGCACTGTTGAGTTGAAGCTTCCCACCCGTCAGGTAAATTTTTCCGGGGTGTGGGCATGCCAGGCACAGAAGAGCGAGTTCTCCTTCCTGAGTTGCATTGACACCAGCCGGATCATGGCCATGGCCAGCGCATTTCAAGGAACGAAGGTTTCTCCACTCATGCACAATCCTAAGAAATGTTGAGTAGTGATCCTAGATAAAGTATGAGTCTAGCTGCATAAAACCATAGACAATATGATGCACCCGTATTGGTGTGATTCCGGTATTGTCACTCTGGTGTGCCAAACTATGATAGAACTTGTATGCGGATACTTTGGACTCGAAGGAAAGCAGATGAAAGAACTTCAACACCGCAAATGTTGCGGCGGTTCTAGGATCAGTAGCTGTTGCAGGGAAAAGACGCGCCTGAAGCAACTGTTTATAATGGGAAGCTTCGTGCTCGCAACCACAGAAATATAGGCCGACTTCATGAATTCCGTGAGTGTCGATAACAATGAAGTCATCATGAAAGGCGGGGCTCGGATGACAACAAGTTTCTCCTGCCTTGTGACTGAGCTGAATATGTAGCCCTAAAGATTTGAGAGTTACAGCATGGAAAAACCCATCCTGCCATTCCTAAAGCACGACAAAATTCAATACAGATACATTACGAATGAGAATTACTCCACCTCAATTCTATGGAATGACATTCTGAGGTGTGACTGCAAGAGGCATGCGTGACAAGATAGCAGAGGGGATAAACAGTCTTGACATCTGAAAGATGGTGAAAATTCCCCACATGAGCATGGTTCACTGGTGCTTTTGCCTCACCCTTCAAGACAAATGAGTTCATCTAAGTATGTTTCATGTTCGGGCAGCCAAAGGGCGATGGGATCATCCTAAAAGATAATCAAAAAAATACTACAATAAAACTACATAAGAGACTTACACCTGGTGTTCTCCGGCGCTGTACTTGAGATGGCCCATCCAAATGAGACTGCGGATCTTCTACTGCCTGGCAAAACTGAGTCTCATTCCAAGGGTCTGAGTCCATGCCAACAGCTTGTTGAGATAGCGCTTGCTCCTCCTCTTCTATTGCAGGTCTGGAAGCAGACAAGTATGATGTCCGGAGATTGAAATTTCCATTTGCCTGCAGGCTGAAGTTGCGATGTCTGGTGCTGGCCTGGCCAACAGTTTTGCTATGGATATGGTGAATGAATTATGGGTGTTTGGATGGGCGACCTCCAGCTGACATGACTAAGAGATTGTAACCTGAAGAAAAACAGTATTGAATGACATGCTGATGTAACAAGGGGCTGGAAGTTGGAGGGATATATCCCCATGGCTGATAGTATGATGACATTGGCGAATCTGCGATACTAGAGCTTCAAAGGAAGCAGTGGGCTCACCAAACGATGCATCAGGCACGTGACCAATCAACATTCATGCTAGTAGAAACAGTACATGGATGTATCGAAAAGTTGATGAGAAAATGCGTGAATGTAAGCCTTAAATACGGATATCCTTCTGGTACATCAGCTCTCTCATTGAGTGAGCAACCGTCAACTCAGTGAGTCCTTCAATGTCCAAAAAATACTGGACATCATCTAGATAAGCAAGCATAGTGCTTAAGAACCGGGAGACTGATTCAGTAGCGCGAGACTCAGTCGAGACTCCACAGAAAATAACAATTTGATCCTGCACTCGAGTTTCATAGCGGAGTAAGTGTTCGACCTCGGTTTTTGCATTTTGAATGATTGAGGTGTCGCCCTTGCCAAGCACTTCATCTGGCAAGCTTTTGACGTACTGAGAGAGGAGATTCTGTGTAAATGCGCAGGGTTCTCCAATTAGCACCAACATCTCGTCCTTGATGCTTTTGACAGCGAGCAGGCACGATGGGAGATCTAGTAATCTGTAGATATTTAAATTATGTTTCACTATTTATAAAACAAAAAAAGTCATGACATACAGTGCGTCATTCTCGTCATCACTCGTCTCCAGCTCAGATGGATCTTCATCATCATAGCCCAAGGCCACAGCAAGTGCTCTTTGAATCTCCCATACCTCCTGCGATGGCTTTGTGAGGCGAAGCTTTTGTCGCCTTTTCAATATAGCGTCTCTGTGTCTTTGTATGTCAGTTGAACTGCCGTCTGTCAAAGACAATTAATAAAAATCAAACTTACTTTTCATAATGATGTCGGCATCTCTCTTGACTCGCTGCAAGTTTTGCTTGTTCTGTTTGATGAGTGGTGGGATGCAGCATGATGATCATGCAGACTGGGAAAATAGACGAGTCAGCAAGGATATGTGAGAGACCGGCAGAGGGATGTATACCAGTGTATGGTCCATCGTGAATCCACAGCCTGAGGGCCCGGATATGAGACTCAGAAAGGGATAGAAGTTTCTGTGCTGAGAGCGAATGGAGGATCAGCTGTAATACAACATGCATCAGCCACCAATAGCGACTTCGTTGACTTGTCTAATAGGGTTACGGACATACATAGATACTGTTAGCATATTGGTGATAAATCTCCCCCTTTTTGTACGCTTCATCCAAGGCATCCATATCGATCCTAACCCACGCAATTATATCTTGTAGTGACACCCTGACCTCTCGCACACGTGTGAGTACTGCACTTCCTACCTTGCGTGCCTCTAGTTCTAAATCCTCGATTATATCAAGCGCTGCGAGGATATCGATGAGCACATTCGTCACTTCAGACTCCTCACACTGAATCAATGCACAGCATAAGGTTTCTGTGAACTCGCGGGATGAGTTGCCGATCACTGCGAATAACTGTTGGTTTATAGATTTTGTATTCCTAGACAAAAATTTTATGAGTGGAGTTACAGTAGCTAGCTGACAACATAGCTTTCTTTATATGCCTGTCTATACTTACGAGCAGCTCTTTCCTTTTCTTCAGATGAGTTGTACAATTGAGGTCGGCCTATAGTGAGTGTGCCAGGGAGTTATACATGTTGGTTGGTATGCAAGGGAGATTTACTGCGTGTTCTGAATGCCCAGGTTGAATACCGCTATCCATTCAAATATAATAAGAAAATACCTGAGTCTGTGTATGCACCCTGGTTGGTGCATGAAGGAGATTTACACCTGGTTGGAGTGTGAGAGAGATTTACACATGAGGCCTGGTTGGTGTGTGAGGGAGATTTACTACACGTGCGCATGAGGCCCTGGTTGGTGGTGCCCGAGGGAGATTTATGTGTGGGATAATGATGACACGTTGCAAATAACACACAGCTCCTTACTTAAAATTTTCATTTTGGTTGCCCCGGCAAAACATATCAAGTCAGTAATGTACATGAAACACGTCACTGTCATGTGAATATGACTAAATCCAAAAATAGCATGGCCCCTCCTAGATGGACGTCAGTTGAACAAGAGGCTTGGTTGCAACCTTGGTATGAAAAATTCAAGGCAAAGCAGGGTGAAAAAAGCAAGAACTACAAGAATTTCTTTGCCGACCTTTGTGAACAATGGTTTGAAGAGTTCCCAGAACCAAGGCCAGGTCACATCACACAGGTAGGACCCCTGACGTTAATGGAGATGGGTGCAGCTCATGATGCACGTAAGACAGTGAGTATTCACCCATTAGGCTATGGATAATGAATGATGTGACTAAATACATACGACAAAGAAATTATATACTTGATTCAAAAATAGCCTAGGAGGTTCAAGATCGGGCAGAAAGGCAAAGGCAAATACAATGAGTGTGATCGATGCCATGGTTTGAAGCATTACTGAGTGCAAAAAGTCCACGCACATGCTCCAGGAACAGGAGGCATACTCAAAACTGTTCTACACAACTCATGTTCAGCCAACTGTTAAAGGATCCCTGGAGAAAGCCGCTCAAGAACACAGGACACTTACCAATGGCGAACACGTCGCTCTTGTGAAGAAGGAGACTGCAATGTTATATGCCCAGGAGTCGCCTGATATCAAGGACCAAGTGAAGCAGTATCTCGAAGACCAGAAGCGGCAGAGAATCCAAGATAAGCAAATCGGACGGAGGCAAATGTGTGGTGATTACTCATGGTGAGCTCATGTTTATTACGTTCAGTGGCACCATATCACCAACTTACCTCCGCTTCGAAAAGAAACCTCGACAAACTTGCGGCAGTCGCTAACTCATTCTTGAAAGGGCTGGCAGAAGCAACTGGGATGTTGTTCTCCCTCCTTGCTGGGGGTCCATCTCCAGAAGCACTTGGGGCAATTGATATCTATAGGTAAGCTTGCATTTTACTGAAAAAATTAAAACCATATCTTACTTGTTCAGTTTTCATGTTGGTCAAACAAAGCTAGGTAACAACTTTAGCACCACATACCCTGGGTTTGACGCCGGTGTCATGGAGCCCTTTCAAGACTTTCTACATCGAGTATACCGTGAGTTTTTTCTGAGCAATTGAATTCATTGAACTGACTGGGCATTAAATTTAATAGCTGAGGCTGGTGTATCAAGCCCACAACAGCAAGAGGGTAGTAGTGGAACTGGTGGTGACACAAGGGATTCGTCGTCGCACTTGGATATATATAAGTCGGGTAGTGAGCTTCTGTCCTTTTGGGATGTATCATCATCAGGTACTGGCAGCATCATTCATTACTTATCCATGATTGATGTATCATCGTCAGGTACCAGCGGTAGCGTCTCTAATGCCTTGTCCACTGGAGATGTATCACTATAGTGGTCTGATATGCAATCAATGCAACATGATACATCCCTCGATGGACTCCTCTTACAATCTCCCATCCTTCCAGAATCACTCACAATGGCGCCTTTGCCCACCATTGCCCCCTTTGCATGGCACCTGCGATGACTGGACGCCCCCAGACTTAGATATATTTCTCTCCAATCTGGATGTTCAAATGGGGTTGGAGCCACTAGCTGGTGCATCTTAAATCAATACTCTTACCATGGTCCCACTTCCCCCTGCATCACCGTTCACTGCTAGTACTGCCACCCTGCCTCCAGGCACCAGCTCAAGCATACTGCCCGCCATCTCTCACACCCCTCAACTGGACACTACTTCCACTCCCCCTCCAGACACCATCTTGAACACACTGCCCACCATCTCTCACATCCCTCCACCGGTCACTACTTCTGGTCACCCTCCAGATACCAGCTCGAGCGCCGAGTCACTCACTGGCAAACTTCCTCTCTCTTCGACAACTCCTTCCTTTGACATGGATCCATTGGCACCTACCCCAGGAAGCGACCGTCTTGATGACATAGACATCAATGATGGACCAGTGCTTGAAACACGCAGGACCAAGCACATCCCCAAGCCATCAACACACAACAACACTGCAAACGCGATCGGTGCCTCTCGGAAGGAAAACAAGCACCCCCAGGCTGAGATGTCTTCAGACCATGGATCTAAGTGAGTTGCGGCTATATCCAATATTTGTTCTCAACTTGATTAAATGCAATGAACAGGAGGGCGAAAGTGTGATGGGTCCTGAGTCACTCGTTCAACATATCTTGCTCATTCTGTTATCATCATTTGGCCGTGCCATTTTAATTTTTGGTAATGCAAGCATAGTATAGTACTTGTAATAAAGACATGTCCTCCCCAAAAAGACGCAATATATTGTTTTCTTGCATGTATGATATAGTTGGACACATTTTGAACATAACAAATGAGACGCTACACACTACTAAAGGTCATGCGGCAATTGACACTCATGAAACTACAATAAAACTTAAATTTCCTTCATGTGCACACCTCCGCTCTCGACCAAATCTCATACTGAGATGACCTTGTCCGCCTGACGACGTTGTGGCTGAATTTGCAGTTCTAGATGAAATTGAGGTGGTCAGTTACAATGGCAAGGATGATAAATGGAATGAAGCAGAACCTTAATGATGTTGAAGTGCTGGAGTGAAATACTTTGTTTTAATGAGCTGGATTGAGTTGAACATTTTGTAGATGAAGTTGAAGTGGCGAGTTACATGGCAAGAATGACGGATAGGACGAAGCATAACCTGGCAAAATGCAAGCACATGAGGACGGTGCGTCTAGGAAAAAGCAAAAAAAGGATTTGAACTGAGAAATCAGAGGAATTCAAAGTGGCGAGTTATGTGGCGAGAATGACGGATAGGACAAAGCATAACCTGGCAAAATGCAAGTACATGAGGACGGTGCGTCTAGGTGAAAGAAAAAAAAAGGATGTGAACTGAGAAATCGGAGGAATTCAACAAAACAAGTGGATGTGCAAAGAAAAACATATCAAGTGCGGGAAGTTCCTCATAGGCACTAGGTGAAGTCAAAAAGATAGATGAAAATACTATAAAGACAAGATCATAAGCAGGTACAGGCAGGTACAGGCACTCACCTCAGATTCAAGAGAGATCTGCCCTCAATGGACCTGCTCATTGAAAGATCCAGTCAATGGAAGCCGATGCAGAAGAACCAAATATTGGGTCCTACGGGAGGCAAGGGTCAACAGGTGGACAACGTCCATATATAGCATTCAACCTCCGTTTTTATGATTAGTAAGCCCGTAAAGCGGCTGCCCTAGGGATACATCCTGTCTGGATAGTGGACAATTAAACTGAATGATGTATCGGAGTTTCTGGCTTATAGTACAGTATAGATACATCTTTATAACAGTATAGGCTGCAACAAGTTGTATCTAATTACGCTGTTATAGCTTTCCAGCTGTGATGGTGCAAAGTCGTGATCTTGTCACGAACTCCTCATGGTAATCTAGATTTTCAGACATTCATGGCTATGTACCAGTAACTCAAATATCTCGCAGTATACATAACGATATTTAGCAGAAGCAGAATTATGTCATCCTATAGTCACCACGGCTACCATGTCACGGACTCATGAGTTCTCTGATGGATGCCTACACACAGGTTCGTGGCGTAAGTTGGAGGTATTAGAAGCGCACCTGTGATACATAATTGTGGCAGCCGTACTGCCCTTTACCAGTTTCTCACTAATGCATCACACTTGCCAGGTACCCCCCATTTTGGTGCTAGGTGATGCATATCACTCGCCTGCATCATAATATGATGCATGTTAGGATCGAGATGATGGACGAGTACATAGTAACGGTAAACGGGAATTTGTCGAGTCCGAAAGAATTTGTCAGTCGCAGCGTCAGATATGTCAGAACTTTGTAAAGACTTACATTAGGTAGAATACAGTCCTTTGCACCAATTCAATTCAATCTAATACTTAATCTAATAAGATCAATGAGAGGGATAATTTTAACCAGAAACCCTTCTGGCTTACGATACTATAGCAGGGTTTCTAAGTAGACTCGTGACCAGTCCGTCTATGAGGCAAGCCATCGATAGACGGACTGGTAAATCTGAGTTGAAATTTGGAGTGCGCGCTTTGGAGCTGGAGCCAATTATTGAAACTTGCTTTTAGTCACATTGGACATAGTCGAGCGACCCTCGTGAAGAGTGAAGTCTCAAGTTGACTGCCATGTCCTGCCCAATGGTTGAATGAACCAGGTAGGAATAAATCTGCATTGGTGAGTGGTGTGAACAAATGCCACACTCGAATGCTCAAAAGTGTCATAAATGGTCTAAATCTGCCCTCGCAGCTGGGAGTCAATTCTAACTCGTTCAATGAGACTTGTTTCTCTTCTCTTTCAGCTCTGTCACCAGTGAAACCAAAAAGCATTTTTAGATTATTGATTTTTGGGCCAAAATTTATATTGTTGATTGAAATGCACTTGCAGGTTGTGCCGCTATTACAATATTTGGGACAATATACAAAGGTGAGTACTACTGAGTATTGAGGCCCAAGACCGATTGAACATCGTATAACTGCAGCTTGCTTGGTTTGGTATACTTTCTTCTTCGTATCACCCTAAAGATTATAACTTTAACATGTCGACATGATGATGTTAACATTTTCCAAACATGAACGAGGGATTAAGCGTCGGGAATCTTCGCTTTGAGCGCTTGGGAGAAGAATGTAAGTGCAGGCGCTGAGTAAGGAGGATACCTTCCCTGCATGAAGCCTTCCGTCCTTAGATATGTCCGGCGTTAATCAGGTAAGTTCGACATGGGCAGCCTCACACCCACCTTGCGTCTGCGGGGACATTGATATAGCCCCTTTGATGGGTGAAGGCGTCGAAGGAGTACTTCCCAAGGTATGATCCATCTGCAATGAATGAACGCTGAGCACCTCTCTCAATGACACGCGGAACGGAACACACAGCCAGATTGCCCTTGACCACCGAAAGGGATTTCATAGACAGCAACCTGAGCGAAAGTTTCATTGAGAATCAGCTGTCCGCTCTGGGTGCGCTCTACGACTTTGAAACACAGCTGATCAACATGCATCTCATATGTGGAAGGGTGATTCCTACATTTGTTTTTTGTCTCCTCATTTTCCGTGAAGACGTAAATGACAAGGGGAGTAGACCTATAGGGCATGAGAGTTTTCCCTGATAGGCCATCTTCGAAAGACTCACCCAGATTGTATGTGTGAAATGGCAGCGTCAACATTTGCAACTGGAATGATTGGCAAAATAGGACCAAATATCTCTCTACAATCACGGTTTGAGCAGTCAGTTAAATAGCGTTTGGAAGGGCATGAGCTCGACTGACTCTTCCATCAATGGGTCGTCCAATTTTACACCGGTAATGATTGCTGGCTCAATGCGAAGATCCTGCCCAGTTTGTCCTCCGATCACGACCTTTCCTTTGGTTCGGGACAAGAGACTCTTGTTGCGTTCGTAGTGCCGAGCGTTCACCACGCGAGCCATCTCAGAAGAGGAGTCAAGCGGACCCATTGGCCAGAACGAGTCATAAGCTTTTCTGAACGCCTCCACCAGTGCGCTTTGGTGTTCTTCCTGCACAAAAACATGATTCGGTGCGACACAAACCTGCCATGACAATGCAGTTATTTTGCTAATATTTAGAGCAACAGTGTAGGTTTTACCTGTCCTGCATTCTGTTGTTTTCCCCACAGAATCCTCTTCGCAGCGATCTCAATGTTCGTGCTGTCCCCGTCGACGAAGACAGGCGATTGTCCACCGAGCTCGAGAGTCACCGGCGTGAGCTGCTTTGCTGCTGCCTCTGCGATGATCCGTCCGACACTCGTACTGCCCGTGTAAAAAATGTGGTCCCATTTCAAACTAAGGACATGCGTGGTCTCTTCAACGGCTCCGAGGCAGACAGCATAGGCATCCGGATCAAGGTATTGCGGGATAAGTTTCGCCAGGAGGGCCGCAGAGGCTTGGGCATGCTCTGAAGGTTTGATCAAGCATGTGCAACCCGCAGCAATTGCGCCAATAAACGGCAAAATCGTGAGCACCCACGGAAAGTTCCAGGGACTAAGGGAGGATTGTTAACGTGCCACCAAGACAACTTGGCTAGATGGTAGCGGCTTGCCTGATGCTAAGCACTGTGCCCTTGGGCGTCTTGAAGATGGTTGTGTCCCACTCACTGCGCCAAGCCTCGACTTGCGGTTTCTCGGGAGAATTCCACTTATCAAGATTCTCGACAGCATGAAGGGCACTTGAAACCATCGGACCTAGTTCAGGGAGGGTGGCCTCAAAAGGATGCCTCCCAAGGTCAGCTTTCAGGGAAGCCATAATAGCATCGGAATTTTCCTGAACAAGGCGGGCGACCTGCAGAAGTTGCTTGCGGCGGTATCCCAACGGGAGGGTGCGACCCTCACGGAAGGTCTGCGACAACCTACTATGAATCTACAGGGAATATCAGCATTTATCATAAGCGCCATATGACGGATGAAAACCTCTGTGAGTTGTTGCTTCGGGGTATACTTCAAGGAGGCCATATTGACTCGAGTTGTAGGAATAATGGTTCTGAAGATCTGGCGAGAAACTGAATGGTGGGTACAGAGATGCCAGCATCTTAAACCACTCGGCGCGAATTGCCTTCATTGCTGAAACAAGGGCCTCCATGCTCGAGCTCAATTCCTGATCCCCGTTGCTGTATGTCGTTACATCTTCCTTGTTTACTCATTCAGACACCCAGCGCCCAAAACTATTCTGGACATTGATGGAAACGAAGAGATGCCACCAGTAACAAGAGGCTATGCCCATCATCGTCAAGTACTCCATCATGGAGCCACATCGTTCCGAGATGATCGTGATTCGTGAAGCGGATGGGGGTGGAATTGATAATCGGAACATGCCCAAACGTCATTCGGCCTGGGTTACCGGGTATCAAACCCACACCCGATCTAGACGCGCGTTGATGCTTACTTACACCTGAGGCCACCTGAGGCTCCCACGTTGTCAGGCCTGTTAGACGTACCATTGTGTCGGTGTGGCCGGTCTAAGTCGAGGCGCTTTGAGTGATTCCCTGCCAGTACGAATAATTGTGAATATTTATGGCCCTTTAAGCTTACTGTATCATTTCGACCTTAGGTTCGTCACACCGTTGCAAGCCTGACGAACCGAACCTATTTTTTGTGACAGTCACAGGGAAATCCAGCCGACGAACATAAAAGTGTGACACTTTGTATTGAGCAATTTTTCAAGAAAAAAATGATGATATTAAACTATGCTACATGTTAGTGCTCCTCAAACACATCATATTGCTTGTTTGCAACATGTCTGCGCTTTCCCCTCCCAAATGTAGTATCAGGGTCCGTAGAAATGGCAACTTGAACCTCCTCGAATGTATCACCGGCAGAGTCAACAACCAGCGACCCATCTACATCAATCCTGTACCCATCAGGTGCACACTTCATGCCAGATGCAACAAACTGCAAGAGGAGCTCTAACGGAGCATCGTCACCTGGTTCCTCTTCATTATCTTCAGGTACTGACTCAGTAACAACCTCCGTGTCTTGAGTGACAGCCTCCGCATCTTCGCTAGCAGGCTGACGACGTAGTTGGATGCGCTCCCACATGTCTGGAGCAGTTTGTGGCAAGTCACGAAGCATGCGACGGGCTTCAAGACTTGTCAGACTCTCAAATGACAGGTTGAACATGTTGTCTGCACCAGCTGTACACAATGAAAAAGCCTGCACCCTGCATCAGTGGTCAACTTTGCTGAACAGAACTAATCTCACCTTTTGTATGATGCCAGGCTTGTTGAGGAGCTTGAAGGCCTCGATGAACCACCGCACAGAGCGATCGCCGATCACGGAGCGTTGGTTTTGTCACGTCAAGTCGAAGGTCATCTGGGGTCTTTCCAGCCGTGAGTTGTGATAGAGTTTCTGAAACAATATCTTTGTGCTGCAGCTCCTTTATAGCCAGTTTGAGGGATCGTTGAATGCCGACGTCGCAGGGCTGTTGTTACAGTCACTACGTGAGCCCCCAGCTACACGACCAGCCCTCTGCCACCTCGCACGGCAATGATACGATAACCGGGCCTTTAGGCCTTGATGATAGATGATGAATAGAAGAGAAGCCCGGAAGATGCCGGATTAGGTAAGCGATCTGGATCGCTTACATGATATGACGACATAGGTCTAGAAGACCTATATATGTTATCAAGATAGAAGGCAAGCCTCGTGTTGCCTCATGTACTGATAGAAGGACGCCTCGCGGTCCTTATCCTAGATAGAAGCCTGCCTCATGCATGGTATCTCTGACTCGATAGATAAGCAGATTAGAACCCAGCTTCAAGCTGAGCTTAGATACGATAGAGCAGCCTTATATAAGGTCGACGATTAAAGTAGATGTTCCTTACTTTAATCCTACTGGGTTTACCATCGAAACCTTTGTCTTGCTAAAGCTACCTGCTTGACATCAGATCCGCACCTTCAGAAGGACTTGAGACCCCTTCTGCCTGTAACTCGCTATCATCGTTCACCTCCGTGAACATACGCAACTTCCGCTCTTCTGTGGAAGCCGACCTCGGACTCTCAGCACGAGGCATCACTGTCGTGATCGTCGCTGTTAGATCATCCCAGTCCGCACGCAACACACGTCGTAACAGCTGTGCAACACCAGTTGTACCGGCAGGGACAAAACAATAATGGATCCAAGGGTGGTTGGCATCAAGCCAGGTGCGAAATGCGATAGAGCGATGAATTACCCAGCAATCGAGCTGCAGAATGCATGGTTGATCAAGTGGGACACCTTGCTGCTGTTTCTTCGCCATCCAGAATGGTACCAGAATCCCATTAATGGGCCTTTCAGCAAGATCGGACGTCTCAAGGAATGCACCAGGGCCTTGCAGCATCATATCCCATCCAAGTGTCTGCAACGCATGAGTTATTTTTCGTCAACAGCAGTACTAAGCTCGATATCTGCCCTATCAAGGCCGCAGTGTGCCAACCAATTATATGCTACAGACCAAATTTGTTTTGAGGCAACTGCACGGCCTACATCATGCCAATAGGTAAGGACCCAGCATGGCAAAATTCCCGGAAAACGTGGGTCACACACGGACTTCGCTCCGTCGTGTACAGCCTGTTCAAATGTGCCCAGAAGTCGAGATGACAAATGGAGAGGTGGGATGGAGTGTTAGAAGAAGCTGCTAGCGAGATTGGAGGTGTTGCATTCGACGGAGGAGAAAAACTTGCAGATATCAAGTTCACCAAGCGCAGGATCGAAATCAGGAAGAGTTGTAGAGTCAACAAGAGCCGAGACAGGCAGGTTTTGGAGAGGAATGAAACCGGAAAAGCAAGGGGGTAGTTTGAGAAGTCGATCTTTCTGTTCCTCCGGAATGATGCTCGTAGAAATATCAATAGCCTGTAGGCCTGTGGGCACGTCTGAAGCGAGGTTGCTGTGAGGAAACATGATGGGTGATATCTAAGACACAAACTGTGGGACACTTACCTAGAAACAAACTAACTATTGGCTGTCAATAGAGCAGCCTTCAAGCCAACAGAGAAGTAGTGCAAATCAAAGATTATCCATGTCACAGAGGCATCGCCGCCAGAGCAGACATTTGACGCAGTCAACGAACCTAAATTAGGTTCGTCACATGTCACAATGGCCAACGAACATGCTACAAATGATTACATAAGATTGCGGAGATTTTCACACGAACCTAAGGTCGAAATGATACAGTACCTGGCGACAACCTGACACATCCGGACATAGTGCCGATGTTCCTGATCTATTCATAGATGCCGGCGGCTAGGAAAGTCCCGTGCTTATGTCAGATACTCCTTGCGTGTACATAGTGTACACCGTCCATTGTCAAATGCTTACATAACTACAGGGAGTGAAGTATAGAACATCTGCAAAACGACTGAAATGAACGCTTAACTTACGCGCGTTACGAACACTTACAGACACTTATGACTTCAGTAGCGAAGTCATGCGATTGGTGGAGATGTCTGAACGCCAATATTACTCACCACATCGGGCTGATAAAACATAAACCAATTTATCTTTTGTTGATAAGATGTGATAGGCTCACAGATACGATACGATGAATGCGATAGCAATTGCTACATATTGATTAAGCTACTGTCTATACAAACTTGGTACTGAACATATGATAACTCTCCTTGTCCGCGAAGCTATTCAGAAAGAAACATTCATAGTGTTCCAAACAAGTCGCAGAGGACACGCTGTTAGCCACTGCCTCGCCATAAACTGGAATTAATTCAACTGCATGCGTCACATCTGTCACTCAAATGACAGCCCCTTCCCTACAGTGGTTACCGTTTTCGTCCTGCGTGTATGCGCGCTCCACAGTCCACATCGTGAGCTCGGGACGATCATCAGGGCTAGAAATGAAGCAGAAAAATTGGATGTAGAGCAGTGGGTCGGAGAGATACAACGGTAGTTCCAGGTTGGAACCTCGTCGAACGATTGGTTGAAAAATGAGTTGAACCTGTGCGATATAACTCGCTGTACATGATATCAGTAGGGCTACAACATAAGCACATGAAATAGACATACTCATTTTGCCGTTAGTGCCCATGGCATCAATGAGAACAGAATCACAATTTCCCAAGGGGAAATCATCGCTTGGTGGGTATGCTTGCACCACCCGACTTGGCATGATGACTCACGGCTGGAAGGCCGAGTGAAGTTGCAATCGAAACTTGTGCCATACCTGGAAACGCCCATATTTGGGGTCCCAGCGGGAATGTTCACCACTGGAAACCGAGGAATGACAAATGAAGTTGGCGAGCGCACGATCAAAGTCGAGGACTGCATATTTCCTGCGTATTTCAGACAGTGAGAGTGATTTGTAATCAGGTGCGACATTGAGTTGAAAAGTGGTGAGCGCATCCTCAGAGAGAATACCTTTGAGGAAGTGATTACGGACTGGTCGGGGACCATGGATTGACCTGACTTCATCAGGAAGAACTCGGGAAACCCAGGAGAGTGCAGGATTGGTAGTTGTGATATCTTCATCTTCGGCATGTATGGCATTAACCAGTGACGCCCCGCGAGAAGTCAGCAGCGTGTACAGGCCGAACATTTCCATAGATTCTTGGCGATTAAGAATCCGCACGCACTGCTCCATAAAATCTTTGATTTGTTGGGACGTCCGCGGGAAAAGGTCCTTGCAATGTGTGATAAGTAGCCGCTCCGTCACGTCAGCAGAGAACTGCATCAAAGTGCCCAATTTCTTAATTGTACCATCGAAGCTCTGCAGAAGCTCGAGTTTGGGGATGAAAAAATCCTCTTTGATACCCTTCTTCCCCTTCCTTGCCTCGGCCTGGACAATAGTGTCCTTGAAAGAGTGGAAATCTGAAAGCGCCTGAACCATTGACTGAAGTGATTGAGGTGAGTGAACCGGATTCTGTGCGAGGTAAAAGAACTCCATGAGGGCACGAATTGCACGAATGAATCTGGGTGGAACGACCCCTGCGATTGATGCAACGATAGTGCATTGGATGTCTCTATGCTCGTGGCCTGTCATCTGATTAATGTGAGTGATACCTTTCGTAAAGTGGCGCGTTCCGACTCGCTTGTGCTGCACCATGAAGCGAGTATCAAGCTCATAATGTCCTACAATTTCTTTGATCCATTTCAGTAGATGATCCGCGAAGAATTTATGGCAAGTGTGCAGCACTTCACCGGCGAGAAAAACGGACGGACATGCAAACATCCAATCGTGCCAGTGTGGCATATGAACACCAGATAGATTAACGGCTTTGGCCGCTTTCTGGAACTTGTCGAGATCCCAGGGATCGACTGTTTGGGATATCTCCACAATGAGTTGCAATGTGTGCTTCCCGGTACGAGGGGGGTGGAGAATTCCATCGCCAAAATCCGCTTGTGTTGTCATAGTCAGCGGGGATGAGTTTTTGCTGACTGCAGCAATCATAGTAGCCTCTGGTAGGTCGCACACATGAGCGACGAGCGGCGTAAACACATGACAAATGTAACGGGAAGGATTGGGCATAAAGCAGCCATCCTTCGCTGCGGCCTTGAGGTTGGCGCAAACAAGGTCCATACACTTATGCCACAGTCTGGCTTGGAGAATAGACTGGTAATCTGGATGGACACGGAACTTGACGACAGGGATGTAGGCTATGCAGCGCCAAGCTCGTAATGTTGCTTTGGAATGAACCTCAGAATCAATGTTACCGATGGTAACGAAGACCGGGTGCATCTCAATTCCTCCGGTAAGTCGCATTATGGGAGTTTTGTCGGATCCTAAGATTATTGGGACTTGAGTCACACCCAACGGGAGATGGTCCTAGAAATTACAATTGGTGAGGATTATATTAATAACAGGGCGACCAAACCTGAATTTTCCATGCCATATCGGCACTCATATAGTCTCCATATTCACACTTATTTTCGACGTTAGCGACGTGAGGGTGAAAGGTCATGTGGTTTGCAAAAGTTGGGTCGCTGAATAGTTGCTTGACAACCTCCAGTGCATCGCGCCAAACAAGCTCCACGGGATGAACAGTCTTATAGCCTTTAAATTCTATTTTAGAGACTTTCCACGGGGCAAAAGAAGGCAGTGAGTCCATCCAGTCCAGGAGGCAATCTTTTGTGGTAAAAGATGGTTTTGTGCAATATGGAGAGTCAAACTGTGAAGGCAAGAGTTAGGAGTACAGCTCAGCCTGACAGTTTCCAGTCACAAAGGTCACTTTCTCGGGCAGCTTACTTGCGTGAGAAGCCATCCAAGAGGCATGTACCATACCCTCCCAGGCCATCTCCACTGGAGCTTCGGTTCGCAAACCGTGTGACAGGACGAGTACGCCAACCTGACTTTACAACTGAACAACTGCAAGAGGTATTTGTCTTTTCATTGCTTTGTTATACAAGTTCTCCAGTTCTCACATAGTCTATGTTCAAAAGCACGAGGATGCAATATCCAGTGGCCTCTCACAGATGAGCTTTGGTACATTGTACAAAGTGTTCAAGGCAGTACTTGCTGGTCGTGAGGCTGCTTGCCATGAAGTAGCCACATCGTTATGGCAGGTTGAAGCCTCAGAGCGCATGAGCGCATTCAATCAGGCGCTTCACCAGGAGAACAAAACCCGGCTTTTTTTGAAGGACGAACAGCTGAAGAAGATTAGGAACATTTTTTCCGAGCGTGACCGCACAGAAATCGAAGATGATACGAATTACAATCAAGCCGTCTACAATGATGAATGCGAGATACTTCGCGCCATCACCACCCAAGCAGAGATAATCTCAAACCACCTGGGCTCCAGTGCCAGACGTGAATTATTAGCATCTACCGGCGAAACTACGTACCTCCCTCGTTTTGTTGGTACTCTGAAAAATAAGGACAGTATCACACGTGCACTGGGGGGTGGTTGTACGGAGGCCAGTGTCATCACCGATACCGACACCGATATGGATTCTGGTGAAGATGATGCTTCAGTCAGGCAGCCCGGCCAGCAGGACTGACACAGCGTGTAATTGTGACCATCAATGGTATGTGACCACCAAGCCATTCACAACACTCACACTGATCATTATCAATTCAGTCATCGTGTTAATAGATTGTTATCAACTGGTACCACCTTGCTTCGACCGTTCAATAATGTGCTTCGCCCGCCCCGGCCGTTCATATATGTCTTTCTGCTGTTCATAAATCACCTTATCGGACACGCCCCTCCCCTCTTTTTACACTTCGTTAGTAAATCGCCTTGCTTTGTTTGTAAATCACCTTATCAGCCCGCCACGTGTTCCTGGTTTGTAAAGATCGTGTAAAGTCTGTGTCTCTTTCCCCCCTATGTACTATTACATCAACTCGCAGTTTAAATGCATGCGTGCGCTCTCACATCCCCTCCACCCTTGAATGCCTAGTGAGCATAACTCTCAGCAACAGCGAAAAACTAAGGCCAAAGTCCCGAAGCCACCGCGAGGTTCTGGCCTCAATCCATCAGGCGAACTGGCAACTGACCAACTCTATATCCCCACTGAACAGCCACAGATGTCCTCTTTTGACTTCGACGCCCATGCGGCCCCTGGAGGTTGGCAGGGCAGTAACAACGATAGTGCACTTCCCACTCCAATGCCAAGTAGCAGCTGTAAGTCCGACTCATCACACTTTCGTTGACTGATTGCTCATCATTCTGCAGCCCTGCATAGCTGGAGCATGCAGGGCGCCAACACCGATAGTCACTTATCTTACGGCCATTCCTATGACACTTCGTCTTTGGAGCACGCCAGCACCGACTTCGATGATGATCACCCCCCTTACAACTCCAACCCTCAATTTTACGACACTGCGTCCATGGAAGCGCCCTCCCAGGGCGCTTACCCACCTCAAGGATCCTCTCAAGGCACTGCCGCCAGCACAAGTGCAACTGATGCGACGCCCATACAACAAGGCGAAATTCCATGCATGGATGTGATGCATGTAAGTAAGTTTGTTTTTCTTCAATCAATTTCACGCTAATTTTTATTATTCAGACGGCGGGCCCAGCAAGGGAGCCAAAGCAGCGAGGCCAACAACGAGCTATGCCGCCTACGCCACACTTGATCCCCTACCCAGCCACGCACCCACAAGGCGCTTCCGAATCTGCTCCCACAGCCTCAGCCTCAGCCTCAGCCTCCACCTCGCAACCTATGTCCTCAACATCTGACCTCATCCAACTAACAGACAACATCATCGGCCAGACCATGAAAATGGCAACACGGCTGGTCACGCGCGAGCTATTCGAGGAGCAAGCAATGGCGATCAACAAAGCCGCCAAGAAGATAATGCTGAATCGAGTCATCCGGGACTCCATCCCACGTTGTTTTGGACCTAACAGTAAGTTTTTATCCCAATGATCATTAGCATCATGCTGACCCTTTATTAGCAACATTTCAGGAATTCATTACTAACAAACATCGCAAAGAAGTCGCGAATGCGCTGTCATCCACGTGCGGGAAGCTCATTGAATTCGCGCGGGACGGCGTCTTCCACGCGTACAGACTTTTCCCTCCGCGGTACAGTAACGCGCCTGCTGTCATCTTTCGCAAATACATGATCAAAAAGATCATGCGTGATGCAGACAGACTCGTTTTCATGCATATCTACACTTTTGACCAAGTGAGTTTTCATTCTCGTTTGCGGATAGCCTAACCCCTCTTTTTTTTCAGAATGGACGTGTCGAAATCAAGGCAAAGTTTCAAAACTTCTTCATCATGGCCAACGTGATCTGCTTCACTTGGTCTCACTTACGCCACGAGTTTCTCGGCGAGACGGAAGAAGAACAGCTCAAATGTTTGAAGGTGATCTGGGCGCTCGCCGGCGCAGCGACGTTCTGCGGCCTAGACGAGCAGTTTGAGGATGAGTTGAAGGTTGAGTCTTTTGGGGGGATGGTCGTCAATCGTAAATTCCTTTCTATTCTAGCCGCCATCAACAACCTCACTGGGGACGAGCGAGTAGAATTCAACGACTTTTTATGGTACGTGTTGGTAGTTGGAGCCTCACAAGTGGGCTCGTAAATACACATCTCTACTACTACTATGTTTTGATTCTTTCGATTGTACTACTAGTATGACTGATAATCTTATGTTGTGTCGATAAACCTTAGATCTCGCATCTAAATGTACTCAGGGTTCAAACATAACCAAAACCAGGCATTTACGAACCAAATTTCGTGCTAACCAAAACGGTAACTCTCGCAAGTGTTTTAGACGACATTTTCACCAAGTCCAATTTTTAGATGAAGATGTATTAATTGTGACCTGAGACCTCTAGGATATCCTGCAAGGTGCGAGACTCCTCTTCCGCCAATTGCTCATCGTCTTCCTCCTCCTCCAGGTCTTCAAGCCCATCCTCATCCCCACTCAAAGTCCCTAAGGCCAACGACTCATCGACAGCAGCAAGACACAGTTTATGAGGCACCTGAACTGACGGAGAGGACGTGCTCTCTCCTGGACTGTTGTGCAGGGCCTGCCCAGGGAGCAGTGTCCTGGAAAACCCAGGTAGCCCCGCAATGTCTCGCAGCCACTGGCAGTGATAATCCAGGAAGCGGCCGCATGTGTTCCGGAGGATCTGTACTTGATGGGCCAAACCTGAGTGCAGCGTGTGCAATAGGATCTTGCATTCCTCCAGGTAATGTCTCTCGTCTTGCAGATACGTAGCCACACGCCTGATCTCTACATTCAGATGCTCAATTCCTTCCCTCACATGACACATCTTGAAATATAAGTCCATTGCATGGCAACCAGATGGAGTAGCCCACAGGTGTTGTGAAATATCCTTGCGTGCGTCACAGAGAAGCTCGAAATCTGCTAGGAATGCATACTCAACAACATCTTCCCACTTCAGTGCTGGACGTGGTGAGGATAATGCATGAGCAGTGAGGTTATAGCGGTCGAGAGCTGTATGGATGGCTGCAGACCGGACTTGGAGGGCCTTGCCGATGTGTTTTCGCATTTTATAGCCTAATTACAATGCACATTGAGTATATATTTCAAACAAAAATCGACGACATACCTGTTCCTGCCCTATTCATCTTGGAGAGTTTGAAGATCCTGGCAACAATTAGTCCTTTGAGCATGTCCAATGCCAGCTGGTACTTCCTGTTGGCGACGAGCCGTCCAGCATTTTGCCACTTGGTATCTTCAGGTTGCCAATCTTTGTCCACACCAAGCTTCATCTCCAGGTTGTGGATGATTTTGAGGTCCTTCTCGTAATTCTCTAGTGCATGACAGTGTGCTGTCTCGAGTCTTACTGTCATGCTAATGTCAGCCTGTCCAAAGGATGATCCTGGCATGGTCAGAGATCATGCCGTCCCATCTAATTCCTTCCTAATACTAGAGATAAGTGTCGTCACAGGGATCAAAGAAAATAGGTATGTACTTGCTTGTGGACAAGTTTACAAGCTTCTGCCAATATTCCATTTGAAAAGTTTCCTGCTCCAGCTCATGTGTACGACTTAGGAGATATGCATGTTCATTCTTGAGCCACACCTCGAGTTCTGATTCATCCATGACACTGAGTTCCTGCATCAGGCATGGAAGAACAGTCTGGCCATCATACAGAATGTCGAGTGCCTGTTTGTAGTTGTTGTATAGGAATGTAACTACCAATGAACCCGTCAGACAAAATGTAATACAAGGCACCATGTGACTCACTCAAATTATGATATATTTCAAATTTGTTGTTGTGCTCGAAATAACCTAAGATTGCTTGACGACAGTGAAACACACTCGCATAATGAGTGGCAGGAGCGAGCGCATGTGACTTTGAGAATGTCCGTTCACAACCCTCGAGGTCTTCTAAGCCGAGGCCAGTGACATACATTGTGAGGTGATCTAGTTGACATAAACGGCGGTGGGCATGACCATGAAAAGCTCCGACAAGCGAGGTGTGATTCAGGGTATGGGCACAAGGACCAAGAGAGCTGCGAGAGAGTGTGGTCTTGAACCTACATCCAACGTCGTACCCCCCACCAAGGTTGTGTCCAAATGTATCGAGTAGCCTTGAGACAACAGTGAGTGGATATTTTGCACTGGAATGTTGTTAGTCGCTTACCTGAGTACATTGCAATGAAGAATTGAACATACCGTTCACCACTCTGCACCATCTCTGCAATGATAAGTGTAAAATCGTGTTGACACACTGCCATAAAGATCCCCAACTCATCAAAAACTCCCCACATCCGTTTCATTTTGTTGTCCTTCATATTTTTCCATCGACCCACACAAGGGTTATTATCCTATCAAAGCATTAGTCAGTAGAGTTGTAGTAGGTGAAGCTTACCTCGTCATAATCATTGAACAAATCAACTTGAGGGTTTAACGTGTCTGTGAAAGAATCCACATACTCCCTGGTCAAGTAACGATAGTCTATGATGGATTGAGATGTCGGGAGCTCTGATGGCTGAGGATTGTTCCATGATACTGAATCTTTGGCATGCTCCTTGTCAGGGACTCGCTTGAGTAAATCGTTTCCATCCATTGCATACAACAGACTAAATTTGAGTTGAGGTTCCGCATCCAGGGTATACAAACATGCAGGACATGCATGTTTGAGGTTCCAGTCGATAGCACTTCATCCTATTGCCTCCTGGACCAGTGAACGAACCTGCGTGCAAATGAGCAAGTAAAGATCCAAAGTGATCAACAATTGGTGTGACAGGTAGCTACGGAAACATTTCTAGATAAATAATGAATCATTGTTGTATAGATAGTGTTAGTGTGATGTTATGACTCATGCCTTGAAAATCACAGAGAGTCTTCGTAAATGCTTGAATAGGGAAGTTCAGGCAGCGCTGGCGTGCGATACAATAAAACTCCAGGCAGTCAATGGTCATGCCAACTGAAGGATTAATCGGGGAACAGGGAATGACACTGTGGCGGACGAGTGCTGAAGCAAGATACATGTCGGATGAGAGAATTGAAAGGTGCACTTTCTCAGCGTCTGTAGAACTTTGTAATCGAAGCAAAGTAAATAAACATTCAATACTCATGATGTATATCAACAACTTTGATAAACACTTGGCCAGCATTGACGTCATCAGCATCAACATCTTTCTGCCTCTCAAAAAATCCCATTCCACATTTCTCATCTCTCTCCAGACTCCATGTAAGGTATGCTGTAATTAGTGCTGGCATTTGGTAGTCAAACACCTCGATCCGACATTGTGTTCGATCGCATCGTGACTGGTAGTCTTTACGACAAACTGACTGTCTACTATGGCTTCAAGGTATGCAGTGAGCCATCTTTTACCTTCAAATTGGACTTATGCATTCCAAAAATCACCAGCAATCCCATGGGTGAGTTCCTGCAGTTCTCCCCCTCCATGACTTATATCGAGTGGCTGGGTTCCATTGAGAACATCCCAGGCACCGTAGGACTCATCGTCATCCACCTGGGCATTATCATCTGTGACATCGCCATGGTCACGCAGTGCCTCTAGGGCACGCCATTGATCAGCAGACATTTCTGAGGTAAGTCATTGGAATCATATAATTATTATTGAGTAGCAATAGTCACTACATACCTTGCAGTTGAGCCCTCCACTGTTCTATAGCACTTGCTGCTCATTCAGCAATTTTTCTTGGCCTGAGTACCTCCTGAGTAGGCCCAGAGCCCCGACGACGAGGATCGCATGAGGACACAACATGTCGAATTTTTGTAGACACTAGTCCAGTGCGATGGCATGTGCATGAACTACGGCTTGTCATCATTTTCCAATGTTTTGATTCTCAATTATTCTCAATTTGCAAGTGATTGATGCGCTGTTCAACAGATTCACGTGATATGATACTGATCTAGCGTTTCTAGGCCACTTACTTGTCAATTGAGCAAGTGTCATGCATCACAGTTCATCTGAAGATCCTGAGGCAGATGGTAAGATATATATAATGAATATTATGTATACATCTGACTGGTTGACACTGGCAGCGCCTCTCACACATTCCCACAAAGTCACATCACTTGAAGTGTGTGAAACAAAGACTACTGTGACCACCGAGACTTCAGCACCTGGTACTGCCAAGACACGGACAAGAACCAGCACCATGAAAATATTGAGGACTTGCACCACAGAAGTCAATCAAACATTCGCTTCCCCCTCCCAAAATACTCCCAGCTCTATTTGATCTCGAGTGGCACCATCTGCATGGTCCCACACCCAAGCCTCACTGTCATCCACTCAAACAACCATTTTGGCATCCCCACACGCACCACTCTATGGCCCATCAATTCCCCACCCAAGCACATTCAATTCACCTCCAGAAGGGCATACTGTATCATTTCGACCTTAGGTTCGTGTGAAAATCTCCGCAATCTTATGTAATCATTTGTAGCATGTTCGTTGGCCATTGTGACATGTGACGAACCTAATTTAGGTTCGTTGACTGCGTCAAATGTCTGCTCTGGCGGCGATGCCTCTGTGACATGGATAATCTTTGATTTGCACTACTTCTCTGTTGGCTTGAAGGCTGCTCTATTGACAGCCAATAGTTAGTTTGTTTCTAGGTAAGTGTCCCACAGTTTGTGTCTTAGATATCACCCATCATGTTTCCTCACAGCAACCTCGCTTCAGACGTGCCCACAGGCCTACAGGCTATTGATATTTCTACGAGCATCATTCCGGAGGAACAGAAAGATCGACTTCTCAAACTACCCCCTTGCTTTTCCGGTTTCATTCCTCTCCAAAACCTGCCTGTCTCGGCTCTTGTTGACTCTACAACTCTTCCTGATTTCGATCCTGCGCTTGGTGAACTTGATATCTGCAAGTTTTTCTCCTCCGTCGAATGCAACACCTCCAATCTCGCTAGCAGCTTCTTCTAACACTCCATCCCACCTCTCCATTTGTCATCTCGACTTCTGGGCACATTTGAACAGGCTGTACACGACGGAGCGAAGTCCGTGTGTGACCCACGTTTTCCGGGAATTTTGCCATGCTGGGTCCTTACCTATTGGCATGATGTAGGCCGTGCAGTTGCCTCAAAACAAATTTGGTCTGTAGCATATAATTGGTTGGCACACTGCGGCCTTGATAGGGCAGATATCGAGCTTAGTACTGCTGTTGACGAAAAATAACTCATGCGTTGCAGACACTTGGATGGGATATGATGCTGCAAGGCCCTGGTGCATTCCTTGAGACGTCCGATCTTGCTGAAAGGCCCATTAATGGGATTCTGGTACCATTCTGGATGGCGAAGAAACAGCAGCAAGGTGTCCCACTTGATCAACCATGCATTCTGCAGCTCGATTGCTGGGTAATTCATCGCTCTATCGCATTTCGCACCTGGCTTGATGTCAACCACCCTTGGATCCATTATTGTTTTGTCCCTGCCGGTACAACTGGTGTTGCACAGCCCTGCGACGTCGGCATTCAACGATCCCTCAAACTGGCTATAAAGGAGCTGCAGCACAAAGATATTGTTTCAGAAACTCTATCACAACTCACGGCTGGAAAGACCCCAGATGACCTTCGACTTGACGTGACAAAACCAACGCTCCGTGATCGGCGATCGCTCTGTGCGGTGGTTCATCGAGGCCTTCAAGCTCCTCAACAAGCCTGGCATCATACAAAAGGTGAGATTAGTTCTGTTCAGCAAAGTTGACCACTGATGCAGGGTGCAGGCTTTTTCATTGTGTACAGCTGGTGCAGACAACATGTTCAACCTGTCATTTGAGAGTCTGACAAGTCTTGAAGCCCGTCGCATGCTTCGTGACTTGCCACAAACTGCTCCAGACATGTGGGAGTGCATCCAACTACGTCGTCAGCCTGCTAGCGAAGATGCGGAGGCTGTCACTCAAGACACGGAGGTTGTTACTGAGTCAGTACCTGAAGATAATGAAGAGGAACCAGGTGACGATGCTCCGTTAGAGCTCCTCTTGCAGTTTGTTGCATCTGGCATGAAGTGTGCACCTGATGGGTACAGGATTGATGTAGATGGGTCGCTGGTTGTTGACTCTGCCGGTGATACATTCGAGGAGGTTCAAGTTGCCATTTCTACGGACCCTGATACTACATTTGGGAGGGGAAAGCGCAGACATGTTGCAAACAAGCAATATGATGTGTTTGAGGAGCACTAACATGTAGCATAGTTTAATATCATCATTTTTTTCTTGAAAAATTGCTCAATACAAAGTGTCACACTTTTATGTTTGTCGGCTGGATTTCCCTGTGACTGTCACAAAAAATAGGTTCGGTTCGTCAGGCTTGCAACGGTGTGACGAACCTAAGGTCGAAATGATACAGTAACAGCAAGTTCTATGTCATTACTGTGGGGCCACAAGTCAGACTTTTCTTTCACTGGTATGTAGTTCATCAACACACATCTGCTCATATCTAATCTTGCGTTATCGTGCTTTCAGGAATGATGTCGCACAGTGGGTGAATCGTGTTAGTGGTAATATCTACTATAAATGTGATACGTTCCAGGAAGCCCTCACACAGTACACTCACACCTATGAAAATGGTGAGCTTCATGCAATTCCGATGCCTGGTTCCCCATTCTGGCCCACTGAATCACAGACTATGTCCTCGGATGAAGAAGACATTTGGTCTCATATTGAGGATCTCTCAGAGCAGATGAGCAATGCACATATTTGATACATTGTCCTGTCCTACATAGAATAACAGTGCTACTTAGTACCATGTATGTTGTATTAGGAGTTAGTATTAGTGGAAATATCAATAGGTTACTGGTTATTGATGACAACTAAGATGTCTTGTGCGAGGTCTGAATAGGCATTACTACTAACCGGTGACCATTGCAGTGTTTCGGATTTACTCAAGATTTGCTCCAGTCACATTAACAAATGAATGAAATACCTTTTTTTTTCTTTTGGGCCTTGAAGTACATGATTCAGACCTTAGAAATGACTAGTTACTTGTGTGAATGAAGTAACATGAATTGAGTTTGAGTACACTGAATCATAAATCTCCTTTGAATTATAGATCAGTACTACATGTGACTTGCTGAAGTACCAGTACTGTAGTACATCATTGTCCGACTCGCTCGACATTTCTTTCTGCGCTACATTAATTATGGTGTAACTTCTTATCAAAGTTACAGATCAAAGCAAGCTGATGGCTAGCCTCCATTTACTATCAATGGCACCAAGGACAGATACAATATAAAATGTCTACTTGAAGCAGTCCCGGCCACATTGTCATATACTATATCTGAGTGTGACTTCTCTGCAGCTGAACACAAACCTGACACAAGAGCCTCATAAGGAAGTCACCTTCAATGTATTTGGAGACCAGTAGCTTCCAGGCAATTGGGAGGGGACGTTGTATAGAATGAGGTTTCATTGTTGTTGTCAACTTATAAGATTGTCTATGCTAAGCCACATTATGCCAGTACTATTACAAATGAGATGTAAGTGTGCGCCTTATTCCCGAAGTGATATATAAAAAAACGCTCCAGGACAGCTTAAATTAGCTGTATGTTTCATATGGTATACCTTACATATCCATAAGCTAAAGGTAGCATTGCGGACGAGTGATAGAACTCACCTGAAAAGTGGACTGGCATCGCCTATATCCTTGAATTCATATCTTCTATCATCGCCAATGTTTTCTGCCAGACACTGCACTCTTTCTGTTGGGCTGGTTGTAGTTCCACATAGCGAAGATACCCATTATGATTCTGTTAGAAGATGAGACAAGCATGAGCAGGCAAATAGTTTGTATTTATGATAATACAACGTACCCTCCAAGGTTACTAATACCAATGGCCATTGCTAGTACAACTCCATGCTTTAAGTTGCCTCCCGCATTCGAGCCTGCCCATGCCAGAATGACTGCGATGGTCAGATAATTCCCTGCAGCAGCAAGACAAACTCCAACGTATGATGGACCCACTTGTACGGAGTTGACTATACACATCAGCTGGGACTCGCTTCAAGTCTGTGGAAGGGTACTCACTAAATAGCCTTCTTTCTAAGAAAGCCCCAGCAAACTATTAAGAGCAGCAGCAATGCTGAATACAAGCGAGGAGAACCAGAATGCTGAAACATCCGGAATATTTGTACATGTTGATCCATATTGATCCATATTGATCCATACCAAATTTGGTAGTCTTTGACCACTTGTCAATGTCCTTGATTGACACTTCACTTCTACGAATTGGTGGTTTGATATTGGTAAGCATGATCATAATTAATGTGTGGTTTGTCCTTGATTGATGCTGCTAGGTCATTGATGATCTGGGAGATTCATGCTTTCTGGTATAGGTAAGTGTTATTTACTTATAATTAATGCGTGGTTTGTCCTTGATTGACACTGCTACTAGGTCATTGATTATCTGGGAGATTCGTGCTTTGATTTGGGTCTGGTATAGGTAGGTGTCTACTTTTAATTAATGCGTGGTTTGTCCTTAATCAACGCTTCTAGGTCATTGATGATCTGGGAGATTCGTGCTTTGATTCTGGTCTGGTATAGGTAAGTGTCTACTTATAATTAATGTGTGGTTTGTCCTTGATCGACGCTTCTAGGTCATTGATGATCGATGATCCGGGAGACTCATGCTTTTATTCAGGTCTGGTATTGGTAAGCGTGATCATAATTAATGCGTGGTTTGTCCTTGATCGACACTTCTAGGTCATTGATGATCTGGGAGATTCGTGCTTTGACTCAAATATCCTGGTCTGGTGTAGGTATAGGTCCCAGGCACCAGGTACATGTTGATGCAAACTCAAGTTCGCCACCTAGAAGCTATGAAACAGTCTCAATACACTGATCACTGGAGTAGAGCTTCACTCTCCAGCTTATGTGCACATGCTTACATCTGACTCTTTAGTTGAAACACACTATGCACTTGATTGCGATGTGCACGCCACTGGTAAGTAGGTCTACTATCCATTTGGTATAATCAAAACTCAGTGGTGAAATTGAAGGACACATGACTAAGGCATCAGATGTCAAAATTTTACCTTACATCATTTTATCAGCCATGGGTCGCAATTCAGGTAAGTGCATGTTGTGTTATTGTGTTTGGTTCATGTTAACATATTCTAGTGCCTTTGATAGGTCCAATCAATGTAAGTGACTTGCATTATTTTACGGTATTTTGTTCACAACACATCACATTGATTTAGTAGATTGTGCCATCACTTTCTGACTAGTAATCATGTTCAACTTCATTGGCAACGAACACTCTGACGCCTCTGTTGATGACTACCACCCTGACTATTTTGCTACCGGCTGTTCTGAATGCGTTGCAGACCATGGATCATTTTCTGGAGCTCAACAAACCGGTAAGTTCTCTGATTTTTCAGTAGTGACAAGAACTGAATCTCCTTTTTTTAACAGCTTTTATGGACACCCTATATCCTCCAAATCATGGACCTTCAACTTTGGAACACAGCTCCTCATATCAAAATCTTATTCCCTTCGACTCAGCACGGCTAATCACATGTTTGTCTGACCTCTTGAACTCGGACGTGAACATCAACTGGGAGGATCCTGCTCTATATGCCAACCTCCCGCCTTTCTCTGAGCTCATGTACGAAAATACATCTACATGGCAGGTACCTGACGGTTTTCCGCAACTCCCTAGTGCCCATAGTAGAGAGGAGCTACCACCAACTCCTAACACGCAAGTACCGACACCCGACAACTCCACATTCAATTCCAAATCATCCGCAGATTCTCGACCATCTGACGTCGGTCAGACCCAGAGGCAAGTGCTTGATTCAAACACTGATAGCATCACAACAGAAGCAGTCGCCACCGGCAAAAATTCCTCATGGGCTGCACGCAACCCTGGACGACCTGTACTCACAACTCACCAGGGTGTCAAACTCACAGAGGCACAGAAGGCGTCATGAAGAATTGCTCAGGAGCAATGACGATTGAAGGAAGCTGTGTTGAATGACGCTGTGAAGTCTCTTGCCACAACATATGCAGATATGATCGAGAAGCTAGCGGATGAGCATAGTGTCACTACAGAGAAGGTAAAGCTACTCCTGGGTTGCAAGACATTCTACAAGAACAAGCAGGGGCCTACCTTGCACAACGCAATTGTCCATGTGAAGGCTCTTGAGTTGAATGAAGGTGTGTTTCCTTTTTCAATTGATAACATTGCCTCAGTGCTTCCTCTGCAGGGCGTCCAATGGGAGCAAAATACACACTAGTGGATATATGCAACATTATCGAGGACAATCCGTCAATCAAGCACCTCTCCTGACAGGAGAAAAAAGATTACATTTTGAAACTCAAGGAACACCGCATGCAACAATGCCTGAGTGTGTGTGCTACCAACTTGGCTGCTTCAAAAGATGCGCAGGTAACCCTGGACAAAGTGTTCAAGGAGGTAGTCTCAATTTATTTGTGTCATTTCTCCTACTGATCATGCATTAGCTTGAGGCTTTGGCCCTCCACACTGGAATGTATGTGTGTTTGTTTGCGACACATGGTCATGTCTATGACACAAACCAAGCCATGTGGTTTGGAACTGACAATGTGATGTACTTCTGGGAGGACGTTCTCTCACTGCAACCTGACTACATCACCAAGCAGCTGGAATTGTGGGGGTGCAATCAAAACAAAAGTATTTTTTCATCTTTTTCATGTCCTGGTGGTCTAACATCTCTTTTAGACATCAATGAGCGTGATTCGGTGGAGAATATGCAGAGGCAGTCTAAACATTTACTTGAGTCAGGCTTCAGTGAGTGTTTCATAATGATTCAAACCGAGTTTCTTGATGGCTGAGGAATGGTGTGTGAGATGTGATCACGAAGGGCCATAATATATGTATGGTGTATATGAACTTCGAGACATCTATCAAGGAGAAGCACGGTATAAACATCAAAGGCTGGCCTGAGAATGTGCTCTTCACGAGCCCATACAAAATCGGTACTGTGGACAAGATTCGATCGCTCCATCATGCCCTACAAAACGGCACATGCCACTGGGTCAACTTCACTCCTCACCAGCATCAGGAGCACATCCAGCATCTAGATGCTCGCCATAAGGCCGGAGAGACAGTGAGAGCCCCCAGAAAGAAACACTCTGATGCTGGAGTATCCTGTAAACACCGTTCTGCGAAAGAGAAGGTGCCACCATCCAAGAGGGTGCGGTCAGCAGTGTCTAACAGAAGGCCAGCTCCCAAAAGTGTCGAATATATTGACAGTACAGACAATGATGAGGACTCATTAAAGGAGGATGATTAGTTATAGTTTATTCAAAGTCTATGTCTATCTAATGCATTGCATTTGACTCGTCTGTCCTCATCTTCCCTGCCTCGTCTGCCCTGCTTTGTTATGTAAGCAACAAACTACAAGCTATTAGCACTAAGCCCCTCCCAGGAGTATCTGACATAAGCACAGGACTTTCCTAGCCACCGGCATCTATGAATAGATCAGGAACATTGGCACTATGTCCGGATGTGTCAGGTTGTTCCAGGTAAGCTTAAAGGGCCATAAATATTTACAATTATTCATACTGGCAGGGAATCACTCAAAGTGCCTCGACTTAGACCGGCCACACCAACACAGTGGTACATCTAACAGGCCTGACAATGTGGGAGCCTCAGGTGCCTGAGGCAGGATGGAATCTGTCTGTAGGACAGATTGGTATCATATCCACAGAAATATTTTGCATTGGTAATAGAATCTGTACTACTGTAGTATTGGGTATCAAATTTTACATATGTTTGTGATATGACATTTAGGCAGATTGGGTGGACAATATCCTAAATCCAATGGCATCTCATATCTAAACTTTGAAATAAAATCTGTTTTGCTCTAAGATACATGTCATATATAGAATTTAAGTATGAATATGGTGGCTGATCAATTTTAATCACAAATTTTAAACATGAACCCTATACATATTCAATATTGAGATTTCTTATTGGTCAGCCATCGAACAAATTCAGAATAATACAAACCAGATCTGCACATACAAAATATTGTTGTCATAATTTCAATATGAGCATGGATCTGGTGCAAAAACAAAGGCTTCCTTTCAAATTCTAAATATTGTTGTTTAAATATTCTTTATTTGGAGATAAATCTGATAGGGATTCAAATTTGACTACAAATTTTACATTTGTGCATTATTTGTTTAGGTTCGACATTGAACAATAGATGTAAAATACTTTACAAATATGTTCCACATATTACCCTCCAGCAAATCCAGCAATGTCTCTGGTGTTACACCTGAGACACGGCAGGAAAAGTTCTGTAAACAGATGCGGTGCATATCTTGAGAAAAATCATGCATATATCAAGCTATTTGTATTGTGCAGATATGATAGACAGTTTCTAAATAAAATCTCAAATATGAATGAGCATCAAATTCTATCAATTAAATTCAGACTAAGTTTGGCGAAAACAGGATGGATGGGAAGCATATCCTCAGTGGAGATGATAATGAGCGAGTCTCAGAGTGGGAATTTGTTTCACAATCTGCATATATTGACTTAATTTTAGAAATATTCAACAATATTGACCAAGAGGTAAAGCCACAGCATGCAGGTCAAGTATTCAAAAATGTGCATGTGCATGTCCCAGTATGTAGATATATCTGTAAGTAATCCAGTGAGATCGCAGCCAAAAGGAAAGTGAAGCATGAAAACGTGACTGAAAGTACAATGGCTGTTACTTGAGCTGACTGGGAATATGGCTGCAAAGCTTGAATGTAGGGGGCATTGGAAGAACAACTGAAACTTACTTTTTGTAATTTGATGGGCCTTTGGGCAACCTTGATTTCTGCATGTGACTTCAATGTGGAACCAAGCCTGAGGATTTCTGTATCCATGTGAGTGAGTGTGAAGATTGTACCAGAAAAATCAGAGTACTCACATGATATAGATGCAAAACCATGTGTGACAAAGTGTGATTGATAAGAGTGAGCAGTATGCCTGAACTCAAACACCTTTGTACTGATTTTTCCTCACCTTTCAAAATACAGTACTTATGATGGAGACAACGACCACAAGACAATAGTTTATAAAGTTGTTAAGACAACAAAATTACTAATGTCAATACCATTAAAATTTTCACACTACTATGCAGAACTGCGGAACATGAGGGGGAATTAGACTTCACTGGAAATACCCAGAGCGGCTGAGTGGTTGTCCGGTCGACGAAAATATAAGGATATTTCTAGAGTAGGCAAAAGAGACTAGAGAAGGCCGAAATCAGTATTGAATGAACAAGGAATGATCAATCAATAGTGACCTTGCATTCACTACAAAACTGACTAAATCATTGGTATCGCTCAAGTGCTATATATTCACCATCAATGCCAGGAAGATGTCAAAGGAAAGGTCAAGGGCCAGGGTAAGTTGCACAATGCAGATACATGCATTCAGTTAACAAATAGAGGAATAGGATGATGACGACCTTGCCAGAAGCATCTTCCAGTTAACACTGGAAGACAGAATGGATAATGGGCACATTACTGAAGCAATACATGTGGCCAGCCGATCTATATTAGACAATACCACAAGAGTTTCAAGGGAGTATTCAGCGGGGATCCAGGATCAAGCATCGGAAGATTACCACAGACTTTACCTCCTTGACATTGAAATGCACACTTGTCTTTGGGACATGACTGATACTGTGAATCAGCTTGACTTGGCTGATGGGCAATAGGTCCTGAAGATGCTTACTGAAGAGTGTAATTGGATGAAGAAAACCCAGGAGGAGATAAAAGATATGCAAGTAAATGGTGATGCTTGTAATGAAGAATTGCGGCATGTGTCTCTTCAATCATTACATGAAATCAGAAATATGGTGGGGAGTATCATGGACATTGTGGGTTGTAGAACAAAGGAAGACCTGAATAGTGCATCAGCAACTGTCAACACAGGATCATAACCAGAACTTAATTTCAAATGAATATTCCACAATGCCAACCCTGCCATACTCCTCACCATGCTTATTGCCTCAATCCTGAATGTCTTTGGACATATTACTAGGCCATGGTGCAATGCAGTTCTTGGGCTTTGAACCTCCTCCTTGAGACCACACTTGGAAAGTCTACTGGTTGAGCAATTTCTTGCGACATCTGTACCATCTGCAAAAAATTCGACCTAAATCCAATCACTTGGATGTTTGCCACTTGTACAAGATGTTTGTGCACGTACCCGCCAGTGACCACGAGAAAAAAATCACTATATCCTGAATGCTGCAACTATATGAAGTACCCAGGAAGCATGCCTTGTGGTCAGTTGTTGGTGAAATCCATGAAGAATGAAGGCTTAAATCATGGGCTCCTGTGCACCCATATGTCATCCAAGACTTCAATACATTTCTTGCTGGCTTGCTCAATTGGCCAGGCATCGAAGAAGCTATGGACCATGGAATGATGATGAATGAAAAATACCACCTGTGGGATATCAAGGATGGCACTGTGATGCAAGAGATATTAGGTCCTGACAGAAAACCATTCATGGATGGGTTAAGGAGAAGGGACCTGAGATTAGCATGGAGTCTTTCGATGGATTGGTTTAACCCGCATGGAAATAAGACCTCTGGCAAGAAGAAATCAGTTGGTTTGATCACAATGGGGCTACTGAACCTCCCACCCAGTCTGCGATATAAGCCAGAAAACATGTACTTGGTCGGTGTTATTCCTGGACCTAGAAAACCAGCTCTCAAAGGGATCAACCATTTTCTTCCCCCAGTAATTGACTTCTTCCTACCTTCATGGAAAGATGGGATGTGGTTTACAAGGATGCATGAGCATACTGAAGGGAGACTTTCAAGGTCTGTCATTGCAGTGGTGGTCAATGACCTACCAGCTGCTTGCAAACTTGCAGGGCGGGTGGGCCCCACTGCAAATCAGATGTGTGGGCTTTGCTGGCTGAACAAGTCAGAAAATGCAATCTTTGACTACGACAAATGGAAACGATGTATGTGCGAGGAGTACTGGCCAGCTGCAAAAGAATGGAGAAATGCTGAAACAAAGTTGGAACGCACTAAAATCTTTGAGTGACACAGAGTGAGAAATGAAAATACAGAGACATATTAAATAGGGGTTCTACAGGGGAATTGGAAAAAACCATGCTCGAGACATTCTGTGCCACTGCAAGTGTAAAGGCAATGCTCCAAGAGCCTGGAGCATCCGATGTTGTCAAAAAGGCAGTTGAAATCCTGCAGCAATGCTGTGCTCCTTTTGCGGAAGAATTTTGGACAGACACCAGCATCCTGTGTACAACTATGGAATCAATCCCATATGTCTCACATGATGACACTGATATCATCAAAACCCCTATTTGCGATGTCCTTCGACACACCTTGGACAAGGCAGGGATTCAACTCAATGGGAACAACCACATCATGGAGTATAAAGGACTGACCATAGGAGGTTTGAAATATTACAGCTGCAACTATTCAGCTCCAGATAGTTGTGTGTTCTTCCAAAAGACATCGGAAGAATATGCGCCTGGCATCATTGAACACATGTTCTCTGTAGGGCAAGATCACAATTGGGTTTATTATATCGCGATCAGAGGTTACTTACTGGTGCCTGCGGGGTATGAAGACCCCTTTCTAGCTTATAGTGATTTTGGGGCACAGATATGGAGTTGCACTTCATATACTACAGTGACCTATCTCCGTATAATACGAGGGAACGGACGTGCATAATATCCCATATTATACGGGCCAGCGGACCATGAGCCCATGATAAAAATATTCTTGACTATGATGGATGGGCCGGGAGGCAAATTATTCCCAATGGAGGCGGGTGGGCCCATGCAGGGAATATATAGAGTAGATGAGTGGGCCGATGTAAATGAATATTAGGTAGACGGGTGGGCCGAGGTAGCTGGATATTATGCAGATGGGTGTATTAAGGTAGATGTGTATGAGATAGATGGGTAGGTACTTGTTATCACATTCACGGGTGGGCCCAGACACATATTAAATTAGACGGGTGGGCCGAGGGTATTATAAAATATTGTATTATACGGGTGGGCCCAGACGCATATTAATTAGACCGGTGGGCCGAGGGTGTTGTATGGGATGTTGTATTAGACGGGTGGGCCGAGGGTGGTATACAATATAGATGGGTGGGCCCATGTGTATCATAATTGTAGACATGATGGAGCTGAGGTAGTTGTACATCAACCAAATCAGAGGAGGTAATAAATCAAAGTTACCAAGTTCCCGGAGCATCAGGTGATCTCCTGACATGGCAGTGCGAAGCTTGTGTTGCCCAACGAGACGCCAAGTTCCGGCCACCAGAATTTGAGTCAACTGTACCGAGTTCCGAGTTCCTGGGACCCGGAACTCACCACATAAGTTGGTTAATACTTTTTGATGGTGCACAGGTTGTCTTGCAGAATGTGGAATCCGGGGTGCGAAGCTTGTGTTGCCCTACGAGAAGCCAAGTTCCGACCACCAGAATTGGAGTCAACTGTACCGAGTTCCGACTTCGACTTCCGGGACCCGGAACTCAACACATAATTTAGTTAATACTTTCCGTGTTAAATGGCCAACCGAAGTTGAGATGTTTCTGAAGAGAGCAGCAGGTGCTCTCTTGACATGGCCTCTGATGGTGCTTAGGTTGTCTTGCAGAATGTGGAATCCGTGGTGCGAAGCTTGTGTTGCCCTACGAGAAGCCAAGTTCCGACCACCAAAATGTGAGTCAACCGTACTCAGAGGAGGTAATAAATCAAAGTTACCGAGTTCCCGGAGCAGCAGGTGATCTCCTGACATGGCTGTGCGAAGCTTGTGTTGCCCTATGAGACTCCAAATTCCGACCACCCAAATATGGGTCAACCGTACCGACCTCCGAGTTCCGGGACCCGGGAGTCGACAAATGAATATCTGATGACCAGCGAGTCAACCTTACTCAGAGGAGGTAATAAATCACAGTTACCGAGTTCCCGGAGCAGCAGGTGATCTCCTGATATGGCAGTATGAAGCTTGTGTTGCCCTACGAGACGCCAAATTCCGACCACCCAAATATGGGTCAACCGTACCGACTTCTGAGTACCGGGACCCGGGAGTCGACAAATGAATATCTGATGACCAGCACACTTCCAATCAGGTAGTATTTCATTGAGCAATGGATAATAATACATCTTTGACAGCAGCCAAAATTATCCATGGCTCCCTTATCTGATCCTCTCTATCTCCACCCCCTATAACACCAAAGTCTGGACATCCAGCATTCAGCGTCTGATTTCCCAAGATTAACATCCAGCATGAACGGTTCTTCCCCTTCCCCTCCTGATAGCATAAACATCTGGCGCACTTGGGCCCTGACTGTGACTTATGAAGCAGGGGAATATACTGAACAGAAATTCAAGGCAGAGAAGACTGGAGGAGGCCCAGTCATACCTTCCCCCAACCTAGACACTGATCTGGTGATGGCGTGCGATCGCTTGGCTGATGTACTCATAAAGGCATCTAAAAATCCCAGTGGGTCTTCCTGCAGATTCGGAAAATTCTATTTATCATTCAAATTCCTGCATGACAGTTCAGATGCAGATGGATATTGCAAGATATAGCAAATTGATCTCCCCGAAGGACACCGGGCATAATGAACATAAGAGAGGCGAGGTTGCTTGAGAGGTGTCCTCCTGGCCATGAAGGCAAAAGGTTGGTCGATGAACCTGCAATAATTCTTGATGCATCCGGTGCCATCATTGCATGGTATCTCCCAGACGCCCTGACAGACACCACCCAGGTGTGTAATATACATTGTTACTCGATGGATATCGAATATTAATGGAACCTACAGAAGGAAATCAGGGAGGCCACCTATTTGCTCTCTCCAAGCCTCGAAAAAAGTGTAAGGGCTGATGGCAATTGGCGAACTAATCAAAGGTTGTTCAACCGGGGCTCGGAAGATGTTGGAGCAACTCCCGGATGCATCAATCTATCTCCAGCATGGTTTCAACAGGGACATGAGGTAGGATCTGATGAGATGGTGATTCCGGCAGTCATACTTACCAATCCCAAAGAATGTGTCCGATCCGGAGGTATCTGCATCATTGAAGGGACCTTCCTGCGAGAATATCCTCAAAGCCATTGCAAGGCCAGCAGCCATCGCGTCTGCGGCACTCAGAGTCATGCATCCTGAGCAGTACTGGGCAGGGTTGAGAACCTTGTCAAACCTTGGAAATATAGCAGTAAGCAAGGATCTGCCACAGATGCCGGAGGCCCTGCAGTACTGGGCATCTGTGTTTAACACCCTCTCCATCATTTCCAATCGGGAAACCCCCCATCATCGAGACCACATGTCCATTGCTGAATGCTTCGACATTCTCACCACCATGGGGGACTATTCTAATGCTCGGATGACAATGCCAAACCTTCAGCTGGAGTTCAAGTACAATTCCGGCTGTATGATTGCGTTTTCCGGAAAGATTGTGAGACATGGAGTGTATGATGTGGAAGGGGATCGGATTGCTTGGGCATGGTATATGAGGGATGCTGTTCATATTTATGCTGGTGTTCCATCATGTGGATGGGCTAGTGTGGATGGTCCATACAGCATGTGAAAGATCAAACAAAGAGCAAGCATTGTGACCTATATACATTCCAACAAATGAATACCATGTACCAATTGTGATCCGGACCTCAATACTCAATTTTGAGCATTTCCCAAGTGATATGTGGGACTAAATAATTTGGATGCAAGCCTCGGTATTCGATAATTGGAACTCGGGACTTGACATATGGGAGTCCTGAGTGCCGGGGTACTTAGTCCCGACACCCGGACCTCAGCACATGATATTTGAGACTGGGGGAAGATGTATAAATATGCTCGAATTAACATTTGTTATTGCCATACACATTTAACAAAACCCTGAACCCCGACATTGTGGACTCCAGACTCGACACTGTCCTGAATACTGAGTTCCGGACGCCCAGGTCCCGAGTCCCGAATTTCGGAGGTCGGGGTTCGGAGACCCGGAGCTCGGCAACTGTGTTGGGTGTCAGGGTATCCAGACCATTGGAGATAGCATGTGTCAGTATTTTGCGTTTCATGGTTTATGTTGGGTGAATATGGAATTGGGGATCAGGGACTCAGTATTCAGAACAGTGTCAAGTCCCAGGTCACGAGCTCCGAGTCCCGAGTGCCGAACCCTGAGTCCCAAGTCCCGAATTTCGGAGGTCGGGGTTCGGCGACCCGGAGCTCGGCAACTGTGTTGGGTGTCAGGGTACTCAGAGCATTGGAGATAGCATTTGTCAGTATTTTAAGTTTCATGGTTTATGTTTCGTGATTATGGAATCAGGTGTCAGGGACTCGGTATTCAGAACAGTGTTGAGTCCCAGGTCATGAGCTCCGAGTCCCGAGTCCCGAAACCCACACCCAGCAGTTGCCGAGCTCCGGGTCGCCGAACCCTGACCTCCAAAATTCGGGACTCGGGACTCGGGGTTCGGCACTCGGGACTCGGAGCTCGTGACCTGGGACTTGACACTGTTCTGAATACCGAGTCCCTGATCCCCAATTCCATATTCACCCAACATAAACCATGAAACGCAAAATACTGACACATGCTATCTCCAATGGTCTGGATACCCTGACACCCAACACAGTTGCCGAGCTCCGGGTCTCCGAGCCCCGACCTCCGAAATTCGGGACTCGGGACCTGGGCGTCCAGGACTCGAATGTGAGATTTTTGAATGCATAGAATATGTTACATCTTGTATATAATGAAGAGTGAATGGGACTACACTCCTTTGCCTTTCCTCAATTTCTCTAACATGTCAGTGTACATCTTCACCTCTCCCATCTTCGCTTTGATGCCCTGATCTTGCTCCTCCAGCAATGCTTCCATGCGTTCTTTGATGAATCTCAGTCCCATGAGTGGTGGAGTCGAAGTGTTTTTCAACTTCTCTGGAAGTACCAAAGCATCATCCTCAACATTAAGCTGAAACAGATAAGTCATCAATCAAGGTAATTCAGCTGACATCTTACCGCCCAATACTGGTAGTGAGAGACGCAGGAAGCCATTATTTCATCCCACTGCCATG